TGTTTATCTTCCTGTCCCAGGTCATTGATCTTTAGGTTCAATTACAACAACCAAACATTTCCTGAATCTTGTCACACTTAGATAAATGTTTTCTTTGAAAATTCCAAAATATGCTCCCTAACATTTAAAGCAAGATATGTCCAAAATTGCTTAAAATAAATCCAGGTTTGCACTACTTCCAACTATAACCACTTGACCCATTAATGTCTGAGATTCAAATTTTTCAACAGTATAACTGAAGGGGCAATCATAATGTGAAACAGGGGTGATACCAAAATATCAAAGCCATCATCATTTTATTTTTACATTAATTTTATTGAAGGTACAAATATATCAAATGATAAATAAAAGTAAAACTTGAAAATTATAAGAGAATCACAGTTCCAGTGTCATTTTAGACTGTTTTGGATTGTATAAAAACCCAGACTCCCCCTGAATAATCACATGGAACAATCTGGTCTATCCCAGAATGCTCAATGAGAAGATTGATCATGCATAGATTATAAGAGGGAACCACCTGGGGTGCCATTAGTTTTATCTGATCAGTGTGTTATATTCTGTGTGTGAAAACTTAGTGGATGCAGTATTTATTTATCTTAATTATAAGAAAGTATCAAGCATACATATTTTACACATTAATTGTACATAATGAATTATATATTAAAAGGACAATTAATAACTATTTATGTTTATTGTACACATAATTAATGGCAGAGTAAATTGTAATCTGAATGTATGTCACAGACTTGCTTAAGTTAGTAGAATATACTATTTTATATGGCATAAAAACATATATTAAAGATTAATAGCATTCTTATTTCAGTGTTGCTTACAGGCTGTCAAGAAGAAACTGCAGGAAAAATACTGATGCATTTAGAAACTAATAGACATAAACACTGGTTGTTTCTTTTTGTATAATTATAAGTTTTGCTCTTTTAACTATTCTTAAAATGGAGAAGATATCTAGTAACAATAATTATAAATAATAAAAAAAAAATATGAAAATAAAAAAAATAAAATTTTCAAGTCTTTCTGATCATCAGTTATTTGAATAATCTTTATCTTATTAATTATGATTAGTTACAATACCTTTATAGCCATTAATAAAAGGTATTATTTTGTATTTAACTTTTCCATGTTTTCACACTTAAATTTTTGTAATTGATTCCTCCCACAAAAATGGCTTCAGAAGATTAAAGTACAAATTTATTGAAAAGGAAGTTGGCCATTGACAATGTCCATACTAAAAATTGATTCCCTGGACCAAATCTCTCCTTTCCATGCTGTTGGACAATTGTTTGCTCTGACCATGGATTAAGAAATATCCATTGGCAATCTACAGTTGGGTTGTTATCTTAGTTTGCTTTAACTGTTGATTATTGCTTTTGATGCCCATAATAAGTTAAATCATGATTATGTCTTAACATTTTCCGAGATGAAATTTAGTTAAGTTCAATTATCCGAGGTCATTTCCAAGCTAAATATTGGCAAAGTGTTTCCAACAAATTTTACGTAAATTATCCAAGTTCTTTTCCGAGCAAAAAAATGACAAAGTTCTTATTTCCAAGCTTTTTCCGAGCAGATTTTTGGCAGAGTGTTTAATTCCGAGATAGTTTCCGAGGTTTTCTTTATTTCCAAGGATTTTTATACAAAAACCTTGGATAAAGTTTCCAAGGTTTTAAAAAAAACCTCGGAATTAAGAAAAAACCTTGTAAAACTGGCTTATTTCCAAGGTTTTTGAAGCAGTTTCCATGGTTTTTTTCATAAACCTCGGAAAATCTACACCCGGGATGGGTTTAACTCAGGTTCCCTGGTTCATGCCTGTAGTAATGAACAGAGAGGAAAGCTGACATTAACAGTGTCCGGTCAATGTGAAAAACTCTATAAAGAAATGTCAGAAATGTTTCTGAACCAATGAACACAGTTTAATTAAACTTGTGTTACTGATCATATAACTACAATTGATTGATTTTACCTGATAAATTATGAAGGCCCACTGTATAGCTATTCTATTTCCTTCATTAAACAAACATAATCATAGACTAGCTTCATTTTAAGTGCTTTCTCTCTGTGTATGCTGACTTTACAAGAATTTTTTTCTTTTCACAACAAAATCATTAAATTCTGACAGAAAATCAATTAGAAATCACAGCTTTATCAATACCCTCCATGATTTTGTAAACATTCTTTTATATGCTATATGAAATTTTGTTTAAACACTTACAGAGAGAGTGACACTTATTTATTCTGGTAGCAGTTTAAATGTAGATAATCTGTAGTAAGAATAGATAGTGACCCTTTAACATTGACCACTGTAATAGTTATAAATTTCTCTTGTATATTTTATTTAAAATGAAACCATTTACAGCTTTAACGTCAAGTAGTTAAAAGTACTTTTCAAGATGATTTAAGTAGCACTATATCATATTTGATTCGTTAATTTTTTTTTGTCTGGCTAAACATAAGGTTTAAGGCTTGTAAACAGATTAAAATTTCTATTAAAAACAAATTCTTGAACTGACTTGTACTGTGTTTAGCTTGTTTATTAAGCCAGTGATGTCTCTTCTGAAAAGTCATCCCAGCAGTTTAAACATATTTATTTAAGCTCGATTGCGAAACAAGTTCTTTCAACTTATTATTTACTTATGTGTCCGCTTTCTGGGACCAACGCATACTGGTATCAAATGAAGAAACATGGTGGTGACACGAGTATAACTTCAAACCCATGATCCCTGGGTTGAGAGGCAGACACTTTAATCACCAGGCCACCACTCCCCTTCAAAAGTCATCCCAGTACAAGCCAGTATGCAAATTAATTACAAGTTAAAATGTTGTGTGTACAGTATATTGAATTAATGAGCCACATCCTTTGTTGGACCCACCAATGTACTAGGACCCACCAATGAAATTCAGAAGCCTAATATGTACACCAATTTGTACTGAGTTGGAATCTTAGTCAATAAACATTTTACTTTGTGTGATAGGTTTGTACAAAGCAAGTTGATTAAGGATGATGGACACTAATTAATTTGGTAAATCTTGCCAAATTTGGGTAATCTGATATTTAACCAGAAACTGTTCCTTCAACTTTCCTGCAGCAGTTTTATAATGTTATCAATTATGTAACTGAATTTTTAGTACATTTTTAGTACATTTATGTAATGTGAAATGGTGTAATAACTTTCCTCTGTGAGGTCATTGTTTGAGAAAATACTAGTGTGGCTGTATGCATAATTTCAATGATCTTTAGACTCTGTAATCATTCAAGACAATTGACCTATATATTAGTTGACAATGTGAATCCTTTAACCCCTATGATTTTGAAATTTTTATTATTTGTTTACCTCTTTTACAAACTAATAAAGAGTTATCCATCAAACTTGTTTAAAGACTTTGTATAAATTTTGGAACAATTTTTAAAAAAATATTAGAAAAGTAAATTTATTAAAAGAATTTTGGTAAATATGAAATTCAACAAGAAAAACCTAAATGGTGTACATTTATTTGAAAGTATTGGGTATTTAATAATAAGTTTTAGTGATAATGTTTGGTAGGTTAAGATATTTAAATAAACTTAATTGATTTGTTAAGGTGAATAGAACCAAATAAATAACCTGTCAAGCTAGGGTTGGTATTTATGCAGAGTTGGTAAATAGTATTTTAGATTGGGCTTTCAAATGTGTAAAGTCGTAAAGAAAATAAAAACTTTTACGAATAATGCATGCTGTTGAAAAACCACTTGACGCAGCTTTGTTTGGCCATAGATAAGAGCTTTGAAATAAATATTTATAATAAAATATATATGTTTGTTCAAGATTTTTTTCAATTTAGAAAACCAATAAAGAAAAAAGAAAGACCTGATATTATGATTTTGCTGTATTGCAAAAAAATATTGATAAAAAAAAACATGAAATACTTGTAATGATATGGGCTTTTGCTGCCTGGATTAATATTTGAAAAATGCAATGAATTAATAATTATAATCTTCCCCAATGTGACAGATTGCATGTATTGGAAGTTGGTAATGATTTTAAAACTTTGGAATTTGCCCTTTGTGCATTGAATAGATTACAAGATTAAAATATTTCAGTTCAACAGGTAACATTAAGTAGATTCAGGTCAGACTAAACCAATGTGCACAAATGTGCAAGCGAAACTAACATTAACATAACCTCAACTAAGTCTCTCTTGCCATTATTATAGAGCTAAATCCGCCAAAGGTCCTATACTAGCAAAAGAGAACTCAGCAAATATGGGGTTTTCCATGCTAATCCCCTGGTACAAACAAACTTTTACTGTTATAGCTTCATGATGCACTAAGTAACCAGAGTCACAATTAATTAGTCAACCTGTTAAGCTTATTTTTGAAGCTGTAACTGTAAAAGTTTGTTTGTACCCGCAGATTAGCTTTGAAAACCATAAATATTCTTTATTTCGGATTGATTAAGTCTATTAATTATCTTGTGACCCCATGAAAATCAATCATCAGCAGTATGTTCTTTTTTTCATAGGTAGATGAAGAGCTCTTCCCTAGACATTGAAAAAAATAACATGGTATTTAAAAAAAATACATAAACAACTATTTTAATTCTAATTAGATTTTATAGCAGAAAACTGTATATCATTTATACCCATAGCTCAATCACAGTAGGAAGATATCAACTGCATGTTAGTGGAATATTTTTATGATTTTTTTAAAAATTCCAAAACCCCCTTTCCCCCAAAAAAACAACAACAACAAACAACAACAACACAACAACAACAAAAGATAGAATGGGGTAAATTTGAATTTAAAAAGAGGAAAAAGTGTGCTCTATTTGGGAATCAAACTGTTGAGTAATATTGTATGTCAAATATAGATCAAACCTGGAAACTACATTTTACCATCCCCAATATGAACAAATTGCACTTACCATAATTGAGCTAGCTCTGAAATTAGTAAAACATTGTAACATTTTTTCCTTGCAAATGTTCACATGTATTTTATGTTAATATTTCAGTATATAGAGAACCTGGATCGTTTAAAGCGAGTACAAGTTCTAATTCTCAGTAACAACATTATAGAGAGAATAGAGAAGCTTGATAAACTGTTAAAACTGAAGGAACTTGACCTCTCTAATAACTGTATCGTCAAGATTGAAGGCCTGGAAAACTTAACAAATCTACAGATCTTAAATTTGTCAGGAAATATTATTGAACATATACCTATATGGATGGGGAAGAGATTGAAGTCACTTCGGGCATTTCATATTGGCAGAAATAGGCTGGAATCGGTAAGTACATTTTCATTTTTTTTTTCAGCTGCAAGGTTGTGAATTTATCAGCTTGACTTTTGGAGAAAAGGAAGAGCTTTGTACTCATCTAGTTATTGGTGTTGGTGTCACTGTGACACTTTGGTTAAAGTTTTTGCATGCAGGTCGGTGTCTCAATAACTACTGACAGGAATGGGTTGAAACTTCACATTCTTGTTCTTTGATTATATAGCTGATGATGATGATGGACCCAGGTCCCATAACTCTGAGTTACCTTTTCACAAATAATGCCCCTTTCCTTACTGTCAGACACTGAGAATAGTCAAGTGCACTGTCATATGGACAGCTTTTGTTTTCAGCGTACAGCTGTATAAAATTATAATGAATTAAAAGCAAAAAAAAACACAAAAAAAGACACAATAATTTCTAGAGCCACAGTCAGGAGTAGCATAACCTGCTGTTAGATGATCAATAATATTTAATTAGTCCCCTACCGGTTTACCGGAGGGGACTTTAGGTTTACCCTCCGTCCGTCCGTCTGTCCGTCCGTCCGTCTGTCTGTCCGTCCGTCCGTCAGTCCGTCCGTCCACAAAACTGGATCCAACGATAACACAAAAAGTACTGAAAATATTTTAATGAAACTTGGTATATAGATAGATGGCAGTATGGAGATTATGCACGTCTTTTTCTTTTCTTCCTATGTTGAAAATTCTGGTTGCTATGGCAACAAATAGACTGAAAATATGGCAAATTTTACACATAACCTGGATCCCGCGATAACGCAAAAAGTACTGAATTTTTTTTTATGAAACTTGATATATGGATAGATCGCAGTATGGAGATTATGCACGTCTTTTTCTTTTTTTCCTATGCTGAAAATTCTGGTTGCTATGGCAACAAAAAGACTGAAAATATGGCAGATTTTACACATAACCTGGATCCAGTGATAACGCAAAAAGTATTGAAAATATTTTTATGAAACTTGACATATGGGTAGATGGCAGTATGGAAATTATGCACATCCTTTTCTTATCTTCCTGTGTTGAAAATTCTGGTTGCTATGGCAACAAATAGACTGAATTTTCAAGATTTCTGATTCTAGTTTTTAAGTTTTTTCACTATAAGTTCTTTATTTCTTAAGGTATTTTCTTCAAAATAAGTTGCTAGTCATCAACCACATCATATGTGACAAAGTTAACAACTCTAGCACAAAATTTATCAGAATTACCTCCCTTGAACTTAAAATTTTCATGAAAAAAAAACATTGTTTTTTTTAATAACTTCTTTTTTTCTGAACGTATCTACGTCAAACTTCATATAAATGTTTCTTATTATCACTCAACATTTGTGAGTGTTCAATACTCTAGCAAGAGTATTTCCAGAATTATGCCCCTTTTGAACTTAGACTTTTTTTTGAGAAATTGGTAATTTTTACTCCAACTACTTCAATCATGATAGAATTTTCTTCAAACTCCCTCATCATTATAATATGACAAGGTTTATAAATCTAGCATCCATATTTCCAGAATTATCTCCTCCTTAAACTTTTAATTTTTCCTATTTGTTCTTTTAACTTTCATTTACTTCAATTTCAAAATAAATATTCAATATTCATACCCAAACTCCTCACAGTGATTACCTCCCTTGACAGAATTGTAATCACTGCCTTCAAAGACGTCACATGATGATGAAAGTCACATGACGTAACGTCGAAATTCAAATGTAAATATCGACCGTTACAAAGAAAATCTAACGTTATTTTTCTCTTTCTGTTTTATTTTTAACTTTTAGTGCCTACGTTCGATATAGTTTATCAAAAAATTATCGAATGTATACAAAATAACGAAAAATAAATTCAAAAGCTAAAAAAAATAAAATATCAAGATATCGTCTCGGTAGAAAATAATCTCATATTTTTTAAATTATTTCTAAATATTCATATTATTTATTTATTTATTCACAAACATTGTTAAATAAATGAGAGAAAACTTATCTGATAGAAAAAAAGCAGTAGATAAAACAATTTTTGAAAAAATATAGTATATCAGAAATTCTGATATATTGGGACCTTGGTGGCAGAGATCTACGCCGAAGAATTAAGGGGAGATCACTGTGTGGAGATTGATTCATACCTTCATTACTAATTGTTCTTTGTTACACTCACATCATGTATGACATCGTTATCTTTTTTTTTTTTAAATTTTGCTTTTAAAATGTTATAATTTGATAACAGGGATGTTTAAAAAATAACTTTAGACTGTCCTTCAGTCCGTCTGTCTGTCTGTTCACTGTGATCACTTTTAAAGAACTTTTTCAACAAATTTACTTAAAATAGAAACATAAGTGAATGACCAATGGCCCTTCAGAATGTTGTTTGGGCTCTTACCGGTAGGGGACTTATGGATTGCTTGCAATACTATGATAATTGCTTGTTTCTAATAACTTACACCATTTATTTTCACCTGTGAATTGAATAATTACCGGTTATATGGTTGAGTTTAGTAAAGTTCTGATACCTATTAGAATACTGTAAGAAATGCATGAACAAAGAAAAAAGAAAAAGAAAAATGAAATATACATGTTTTCTGTTCACTTTGTATCTTCAAATCTGTACTGAATACTTTCATGAATGTAATAATTGGGATGTATCAATTTATTCAGGGAATAGACATAAACACATACAATGTTATCACATGATGGACATGTCATTTCTGGAAACATAGTCTCTGTTTGAGAATGATGGTAATCCATGTAGTGATGTATTTAATACATGATTCATCATTTATATTACTGATTACACCACTATCTTGATAGATATATTTCTAATTAACGATTCTAGTAATTAAATAACTGTTTTTCTAGTAAAAGACATACAAAGCCCTATTAACTGTTATGTTACTGTTAAAGCTTTTTTTTTTTAAAGTTTTTATCTGTTTAAATTTGTATTGCTTTTTACCCTGTTGTAAATTGAGTTTTAATAATGTGAAGGGAGGTAACTCAGATTAGAATTATTTACTTGTAGCTGAGTGAGTTAGCTAAACTGAAGCCACTACCAGATCTTACACAGCTGACTGTTGCTGAGAACCCACTGGCTGAGTTCAATCACTGTCGGCCATATTTGGTGTTCCATTTACGAACTCTAGAGGTAATTGATGGACAAGCAGTAACTGACAGAGAAAGGTCAGCAGCTAAAGATAGATTTGAACAAGGTATTCTTCAACTTATTTATTTTACCATTGCCTGTTTGTCTTTGCCTTGACTATACTATTGTGCACTATACCAGGATGTTGAATAATGGTTGTTTAACTTAATAATAACAAAGTTTGAACAAGTATACATTTTTTATTATTAGTTATACAAGTTGCTGACAGCATATATGGGAGAATATTGGCTATATAGAATAAAATGTTAAATTGAGAAATTTATTTATAGATGAGGTAGAACGACTAGAGAAACAGTTGGAAGGTGAGGAAGCCAAAAATCGTCGCCTGGAGGAGGAGCATAATAGATCTAAACAAGAACGTAGTCACATGTCAGCCACGGAAGATGATCTTAGAAAAAGGGAGAAAAATTACAGCTCACGTATTGAAGAGTTAGAGAGAGAACTGGAAACAAAAAATGATTTGGTATGTAAATTGTACAAGTCTTCATCTCTCTTTAGCAAGCAAATATTTGCATATAGGTTACACAAACTGTTATATTGGGTGAATCAAAATAAGGTGGAGAGTAAAAGTCAAAGAAAAATGAAAATTAAACTAGGGTTGTCCGTCCAGTTAGCTCAATAGGTTGAGCGTTGGAATTTGAATTGAATGATCCAGGTTTGATTCCCGGACAGCGCAGGTCACTTTCGTTGTAATTGATCATGAAATCCTTTCAATGGTCATTCACACTGTACCTTGCTTACAAAAAACTAGTACTGGTAAATTGCTCAGGAATGATGTGGTGGCAGAATTGTCCTCTAGTGAGTTCAAAATAGCTTACTCAGCTGTGTTCCGAAAAGTTAACTACCAACACCTCCTACATCATCACCACTAGGATGGGGTTAACTGTCTTCTAGTTTGGGTAAAATTAGACCTTCATCAGGACAAAATGATATAATCTATAACATCTCTCCATCAGCCAGATTTTTTCACATAGCTTATACAATCAAACTTGAAATATTGCAATGTTCTACCATCCAATTGGTAATTTGTACATATCTATTTGAGTCCCAAGGTTGGGAATATTTCAGTTTTGAAATGGAAAAGATAACTGTGACAACAATAAAGAATTTTGTCACCATTTTCCTAAAATAGAAACAACTAAATCAGGCATTTTTGGGGAAGTCTGGGTTTTGTGGCTGCCCGGGTTTTGCTGGTCCTTAACTAGTAGTGAGAAAATTTGTTTTTTTTTAATTTCAGGGATATTTTACACTCTTTATTTATGCACAATTTAGATGATTATCTTATGAGGATAATTTCCTTATTCTATAAGTTGAAACTGGTGTAGACCACAATCAGCTTAGCAAAGCCTGATCTTATCATGGTATACACCGTCCCTATTCAGTCTGTAATTATTTTAAAATATTCCCTAAAACCTAAAAATAATTAATGGTTTTGTACAGATTGAAAAATGGACAAATCCATTCAAGATATTTAGTGTGGTATCAAGCATTTAAATTTTTTTGTATAACATATAATTATATAAGTATCTTGCCTATTTCAAATAATCACAAAGTTGGCACATGCTGTACAATTTCTGATAGCCTCATTTTTAGAATTCAATGATTTTGATACTTAAATTCATAACATAATATTATTTTCTAGTCTCTCATTATAGACATTCACCATTCCTGACAATGATTTTGTCAAACTGTGATTTTCTAGAACCCATAATGAAATCATGCAGAAACTCTTAATTAAGAAAGTCTGAGGTTTTTTATATAAAATATTTTAAGGCCTAAATAAATAATAAATGAATAAATAGAATAATAAATAAATAAATAAATAAATAAATAAATAAATAAATAAATAAATAAATAAATAAATAAATAAATAAATAAATAAATAAAAATAAATGAATAAATATTTACTGCTATGTATACACTCTAATCTGAAATCAAGAGTGGCAAGAGAAAACACTTTTATTTATAGAGTTATTTCTGTTAATTTCCTTAACATTGTATAGATAAACTATAGACCTTTAAATAGCCCTTTTATCTGCTAAATTTTCAATTTCTAAAAGGGTTTTGAATTGTGTATTGATAAAACACAGTAGTAGCTATTTACCTAATCTCTGTAAACTTTTATCTTCGATTAGTGAAAACATTCTATGCAAATCACTTGACTTCTTGAATTTATGATAGTTTCTTAAAATACAAACACTCGAGAGTGTATAAATTTTGCCCCTTTAAGCTTTTAATGATATAATATTGGGTCTTTTTATAATATATTTGAGTAGTAAAATATATCCTAATGACAGCTCGATTACTGTGAACTGTTTGGACATATTTCAGCTACATTACCTTTGCCTTTTCATACACTTATGATAAAATGTTTGTGACTTTAGCACAGCAGAAATCTTTATCAGTAGGATTTAACAGATTAGTGAAATATTTTGAATGAGTTTTAATCTTAGGTAATTAGTGACAATGTTTATTGACAAATTTACTCAATATAGTGAAAGCAAAATGGAGTAAACCTGAAATATTTGTGGTTAATTATTTCTTGATTTATAGTATGTGTTTTTTCCATGGATAGTAAAGTGAAGAAAAGAAAGTCAGTATTTTTTTTTCATTCCTTAAGTGAAAGATAAAAACTTAATTTGCATGTAACACACCACTGCATTTTAACATTGAAGTGCTTTGTGCAGAAAAGTTTCAAGTGTGACATTCAATACTTAGGTCTGTACCCTTTTCAGGGTCATGGTCATATAAGTTATATGTTTGTCTTGTCATTCATTACAAGGATCTAGTCATATACCAGGGTCATCATTGTCCTATTGCAGCCTGCCTATTGTCAAAATTCTAACTTGTAACTATCAAAACACAATAATTATTCTGAAAATTCCACAAATTTACTGATGATGATGCTGCATTTAGGGATTACCTTAGGTTTTTGTTAGGTTTAAGGTTTGAGAAAGACTTATGGCATTTTCCATGCAAATCTCTTTTTTAACATATATTTTCTTAAAGGGTAACACCACTGTCTGTACTCACTTGACATTTTCATTTTATAGCATGATAGGGAATTCTTTCTTCTTGACAACAAAAACAACAACAACATTCAGTATATAGTAAATTCACACCTATGGCCAGAATATTTTTATTGATGTATCAAATTCTTAATTTAATACAACAAGTTTTATTTCAGTTACACAGTGGTTTGACAGTCATTTATATTACTTTCTGTTTTGCAGTTGAAAAAGAAGACATCGGAGTTAAACAAAGCTTGTGAGAAACATTACCAACTAGAACAAGATCTTGCTTTCCATAAGATTGACAGTAAATTTGACAGTTTAGGCCGGGGACCAGAACAGTCATATGATGATGTAAGTTCTATTTATAGAATGTTCAATTAGTGTGTGTCAGTTGCATACATAGGAATATCTGTTGTTGTGCTCCGTTGGTGGAAGTGTGAAACTTGCAGTTAATGACCTTGGAGTGTCATTTAGACATAAAACCAAACAACAACAACAGATGAATTTTAATGGGTGGTGAAAGATTTAAAAATGATTTTTTTTTCTCATCAACACATTTAAAAGATTTTGTAAATTGCATACTGTTTGTCTGTGACTGTTTGTCAGAATGTTTTACACTGATTATGTCTAATATTATAAGAAAAGTGCTTAGATTTTTAACAGACTGATTATTTCAATAAATTAGTCTTCAGATAATAAGGGGAGGTAAAATTGAAGTCACAGTTTACCTCTGTAATAAAGGAATTAATAAATATTGGACTAATAAGACTATTTTTGATAAACAATTATTAGAATGGTAATATTCAGATCAGAAAGTTTTTTAGATCAGTTACATTTTCATATTTTATATGTAAAAAAATATAATTTTAGACGGGGGATGATAGTGGTCTTCTAGGAGAAAGTCCATATATAGGGAAAGCTAGGTACAAGGCTAACAGATTAGCCGGTGAGTCAGATATACCCGGTGCATCACCAAACAGGGTACAGATCCACTCGGTACCTGGTCCGGTACGAGCAGACGTCAAGATGGAGATTAGTACTAAACTTGATCATGAGATTGCTGTTAAACAAGATAAAGTTAGCAAAGGTGAGTAACTCTACGTTGTTTTACATTAACTCATCAATGTTGGAGTTATCTCCTTGATATATGAGGTTACTAATTACGTAAGCATATACAATGAAACTATTTTAAATAGGATATAATTCTCTATTCAATTTTACAAGTTAACTTTTCAATATTGGTGTTATTTTTCATTTCTTAAATATTTAAGTTCAGGGAACTGCAGTGAATGTGTTCAATATTGCAATATTAAAAGTTACATTTCTATATATTTGGTACTTGTTTTTGTTCTCCAAAATTTGAAGTAAATCTTCCATGTTTGAAATAGCATTTAAGTTTTGGAATGACAGATAAATTTAAAAGTTTACTCCTCACAGTCAGGTGTAAAATTAAGTGTTTATTTTCATAATAAAGGGATATAAAATTTAAGAGTTTACTTCAGGTAAAATCTTAAATGTTTGCAGTTACAATTTAATACAGTCTGTTAGGAAAAAGTGAGAATTAACTATTTAATATCATGGAGATAACTCTTACCAATTGAAGTAACTTTATTTTTTTATTTTCAAAGTAATTTTTTGTAAGCTGCGGTGGTGTTTGGTTATAACTGCACAATGGTTTAATAACAAAACTTACTGTAACATGGCTGTTATTTGATTGTATACACTATATACAGTGGAGCCTTGCTAATCCGAACCCTTCTAATCCGGAATCCTTTCTTATCCGAACGAAGTGTCCGGTCCCGATTTTATTCGTTCTATTTTCAATTGTAAAAAAAACTTTCGGATCCGGAACCTGTCTACTCCGAATTCCGGACGATTTTTTCAATTTTTGTTCTTATTTTACTCTAAAATTTACCTCTCGGATCCGAACAGATTTTGCCAAATGTCACACCTTCATTCAAAATAACAAATAATCGCAGGTGTAAACATGCACCAAACTGATGTGTTATTTCACTTGATTAATTGGTGAAACGTATGATCTGCAAAGGTGTGAAAATTACACTTAGCTTGCCTTCATATCTTCTATAATTGCTTAATTGATTGTTTTTCGTTACCTTCAATAAATATTTTGATGTCATGCAATAAAAATATCTTTTAATCCTTTGTAATGGATTCAATGATACGTGATTAAGCAATGAAAATAAATAGAAACTGTCAGTTAATTCGGATAGTCGCTTAATCGGATAAGAGTAAACAACAATTGACAAATGCTGGTACGAATATTTAATTATGTCTCCGCCTCCTGTTTTACATCGTAGGTTAACTTACCCTTGAGGACATAATATTTTTTTTTCCTTATGTATTTATTTTCATTTCTTTATTTTTGTATTCACATGTATTAGAATGAACGATAAGAGACTGCAAAAATAAAATATCTAAATTGCAATTTCAAATGCATTCCCGTTTTCTTTCCCTAAACTATTTTGCAAATACATGTAACATGAAAAAACATGTAAAAGAACCTTCTCATTCGGAAACCTTTCTAATCCGGAAACCTTTCTAATCCGAACTTTTCTTCTGGTCCGGACGAGTTCGGATTAGACAGGTTCCACTGTAACAGTATTGGGATTGCACATCAGATAATAGTGGTGTAATGTTTGATAATTAAAAATATACATGTGGAAATTATATGTGATTATTGTGTACTGATATACCCAACATTGTGTATGAATAACAGTTTGGTGTCTTGTTTGTGTATCCCATTTGATATATACATGTATATGCATGTACGTTACATACTGTATGTGTCAATACACTGATTTTATTATAACTATTCACCTGTTGAGTAATGGATTTGCCCTGCTGTGAATTGGGAACAGTTCATTTAAAGTTTAAGGGATTTCAATAACAAAATACACAAAAAAGTGGACTACCAACAATATAGAGCCTGGTCAGACTTCACATTTTGCAGGCTGGCATGGCACTGTACTGATGGCAAGGGTTAATTACTTTTGGTTAAAGGCTTACTTCACATTTCTGATACTTTGTGATTCTATGAAGTGGTTTTAATATATTCCAAACATGATGATTGAGGATAGGGAAAAAAATAAGTTTTCCAGTTTGAGGAAAGGAAATACTCTGTGGTGCATTCACCAAAATTAGTGTCATATTATAACTATTGGCTATATTATCCTGTACTTCCTAAAATTAGCAAAAAGAGATTGATTATTGATTAATTTTAATATTATGTAAGTATCTAAATATATATATGTGTCTCAACACAACCATGGAAACACTTTATAGAATGTCAATAATTATTTCAGCAAGTTCAGGTGTAAAAGAAGGTAAATGGTTCACCAGGCTAACAATCCAGTAGAACAAAAAATAAATATATAAAAACATGTAACCAGTCTAAATATGACTAAATAAGGAATACTAGAAACCAGTCGTATGGCTGCAGCAATTTGGAAAATTAATTTGGAACAAATATTAAAATGATATTGTTTCCGATGCTTACATATTTAGTTAATTTAAAAATGAACTAATTTTTCTTAAACAAATTTTATAATCATGCAAGTTTTGAAATAATATTTTAATTTTCTAAAACAAAAATATGTTGTTATAAAATATACCAAAAAAAAACAACAACAAAAGAAAATAAAAATATTGATAAAGAATAATTACTATTTTTAAGGGTAAATTTAGGATACATGACTGGTTACATGATGTTGTTGTTGTTGTTGCTGTTGTTATTTGTGTTGCTACTCCATGTTCTAACAGACAGATTCCATGCTTTCTTTCACCAAAGCTTTTATTTGTTATATAGACAAATAAATATTCTGTTTTATTTAAAATTGTTTTATACAGAATTCAAGTATCCTGTGTAACCGTTTTGTCTGTAACGTTAAAAAAGTTTTATTATATTTGTACATTGAACTAATGGTCCGAACAGAGCTCCATACATATCTACACCAACTCTTTTCACTTATGTTGCTAAAAACAATATAAATTATGCTTTTCACTAATCTGTATTGTTTTGTATTGTAAAATCTAAATAGAATTCCACAGTTTTATCTTTATTTATTCCATGAAAGGTCAAAGCAAAGCACCATAGTTTATATTATTTATTTAGCTAATATAATTTCAAGCAGTGCCACAAGTTTTCTTGTTTTTTTTACTAATTAAAATTGACTTAAATCTTTCTTCTAGCCCTCTTCACTAATCATGAGTGTCTCATATCTTTTATTTTATAATCTAATTTTATTGCTTTGCAACAGAACATTGTTGTTTTGATGTTGTTTTGATATTTTCTCTATTTATTCAGTTTAAAACCATTTGTATTCCTTAGTGTTCACTTTTTTATACCCCCGCACAACAAAGTTGTAAGGGGGGTATACTGGAATCAGCTTGTCCGTCCGTCCGGCCGTCGGGCGTCCATCGGTTTTTTCTTGTCCGCACAATAACTTAAGATTCCTTTGACCCAGAGTCTTTATATTTGGCATGGAGGTTAGTCATGATGAGTAGATGACCCCTATTGATTTTAAGGTCAAAGGTCAAGGTCACAGGGGCCTTGACTTCAAAAAGCTTGTCCACCCAATAACTTAAGGTTCTTTTGACCCGCAGTCTTCATATTTGGCATGGAGGTTAGTCATGATGAGTAAATGACCCCTATTGATTTTGAGGTCACCAGGTCAAAGGTCAAGGTCACAGGGGCCTTGACTTCAAAAAGCTTGTCCACCCAATAACTTAAGATTCTTTTGACCCATAGTCTTCATATTTGGCATGGAGGTAAGTCATGATGAGTAGATGACCCCTATTGATTTTAAGGTCACCAGGTCAAAGGTTAAGGTCACAGGGGCCTTGTCCGCCCAATAACTTAAGATTCCTTTGACCCACAGTCTTCATATTTGGCATGGAGGTTAGTCATGATTAGTAGATGACCTCTATTGATTTTGAGGTCACTGAGTCAAAGGGTCAAGGTCATAGGGACCTTGAATATAAAAAGCTTGTCGGCCCAATAACTTAAGATTCCTTTGACCCACAGTCTTCATAATTGGCATGGAGGTTAGTCATGTTTAGTAGTTGTCCCCTTTTGATTTTGAGGTCACTGGGTCAAAAGTCAAGGTCACAGGGACCGTGACTAAAAAAAAGCTTTTCCCCTCAATTGCTTAAGAATGCCTGTCAGCAGTGGATTGATTTTGACATTTTCACATTTGAAGCATGTAGAATACATAACATAGCAATGCACTGGCTTAGTAACCTCAGATTTGGCAGGGAGGTTGTCCTTGAGCTCTAAATGGCCACTGTTGATTCTGACAAAGTGGTATGCGGGGGTATTCACGCCATGACAGTGGCAGTTCTAGTTTGTCCAGTATTTTTATTTCCTGTAAACAGTGATTTTCATGATGCAGGTCCAAAATGATATTATTTCTTTTCTTTTCTGGATAATTTATTAGCATACTTTTTACAAATCTATGTAATGTTACTACGTTATAGACAGATCTTGTTATATAATATTGGATATTCTATAAGTCCAGGTGTTATTATCTTGGTTTATCAAATAACACTAACTGCCAACTTAAATTAATGGACTTATCCTGGAAATTCAGACTCATCCATTGTTAGTTTGGGGGAGTTTGTTATATCAAAACAAATTAGGAAGCAAATACTTACTTATGCGTTTTAGAGATCTATGTTTGAGAGCAATTTATACATGGTAATTTATATAAGAAACTTAATAATTTCTATTGAATTTATATTGAAACTGAAAAATAAAGCTATTAAAATCTTCATTCATGATGGTAGTTTTATGAACCCTTGTAAATTGACTTTATGTCATGCTGAAGTTCCTTTTACATTGTATAAATATATATTACAAATACCCTGTTTCAGCCTGTGGAAGAGAGATATTTTATATACTATAATACTCACAACATCCAGTATCTGTAAGGCAACAATGAACTAAAAACACTATAATACTAAACAAAAACTAGTAGTACTAAATTTAAAGTATAAATCTGAAAGAAAGCTGTTAGAATTTGTCACCAGGCTGCATGCAAAACTAAAACAGTTTACAAGGGAAGCATTGATAAAATATTAAAATCATTTGATTTTTTATTTTAAAAGAGCTAACAAGTACACCTGTAAAAAGCCCAGTATTTTGAATCTTTGATCAAATGTGATATGAATTTTAATGTATATTTTAACAGTAGCAAACACTGATTTTTTTGGATTTTTTTTTTTTTAAATCTTGCTTTAATCGCTCTATTTTAATGTTTTATATCATTTATTTTTAGTTTTGCATGAAGCCCTATTTGTTCTAGTTACTGATTAACTTGTTGTGTTGTCTGCTAACTTAATATTTGTTTCAGCTGTTATATAACTGTAGACAGTCAATTCTGTAGGATATAGTTATATGTATAATGTTGTAAAATTAACCCTAATAACCTGCTATGTTTTCTTAAATGGACTTATCCAGGTTTAAAATTGGAACAGTCCATTCAAAATTTGAAATGATTACAATATCAAAGTACAACAATTAAGCTACTTAAGTACCAACAGTATAGAGCCACCTGATCAGACTTCACGGATGTGCCGGCTATCCTGGCTCTATACTGCCGGCAAAGGCTAATCACTTTCAGTACAAGCAGGTTGTAGGATGATACATCATGCTATTTTTTGTGTTTAAAGTTTCTGTCATTTTTCATGTAATAATATTCTTATAATAATAAGCTTACAATATTGATAAATAATTATGGTCATATTTTGTGACTGACCCTAGCTCATCCGATTGTTTATTTTAGAAGCCAATCCATTTACTTGAAGAAAAAAAATCGCTGCGTTGAGTCTGAGTTGCGTAAGTTGTCCAGTTAACTTTGGTTTAATGCCTTTGGTTCTACTCACAGTGTTACTCATTTTGTAACTTGGATGAACATCTGAAGTGGGGGTCACTGGCCTATTTTCTGAGTTATCTGCCCCTGAAAGTGAGTTTTATGCTCTTTTAGGTCATTTTCAAGGGTAGTTAAATTACTAAAATTTCCAATTAGGGAGCTAATATTTTAAATAGGACAGTTTAGGATAAAGATGAAGAAGCATATACAACTAATACTTGTATTACTCTTAGAATAGTAGAGAAGGTCACACCTGTTGTCTGAAAAGATTTTTTTTCCCTTTCCAAGGGAAATCATATTTAATTTTTTATGATGATTAAAAACTGATTAGAACTGATTGGAAACTGTTCAGCGATGTAAAAATTATACCTGATTCTAAAGTGACAGAAACTTTTGATTTATTGTTGTGCTAAGTTTTGATCATGTTTTTTTTTGTGTTTATATTTTCAAATTTTCATATTATTTTTATGAAATATTTTGTAATGCTGATTTCAAATAACATGATATGCCCCTGTACAAAGATGAGGGTCAGTTTTAAAACTATTCTTAATAGAAACTACTTGAAAGGTATTGTATATAATGTTAAGAGTTTGAGGGGAAAATATTTTGCAGTTAGTTGTCCATATGACTGTATGTGATGCAGACAATAATAAAGTATTGTTTTGGCAATAGGAAACAAAATATTTAAGCATATAGCCACGATTTTTTGAAGAAAAAAAAGTTAAATAAGGGGAATAGAAAGTTTGGGATAAAGCTATCTAAGAAACCTTTCTATAAAGTAAAGTAGGTTTTAGAGCTATGTTTGGTGATTTTTCTTTTGTCACTAAATTCTTCCCAATATCTTAGTATTTTGGCCTACATCATATCTGTATGACTGTGATATGTACCTTTTAAATGAGTGTAGTTTCTAACATCAGTTATGAATGTTTCAGCTGAGGACAGATTAAAGAGATTGACAGACGAGTTAGCTGTAACAGAGAACAAGTTGAAGGATGCCACAAAAGACTTAAAGAACATTGGTGACTCAGCCCTCACTGAGAAAGAAGAACAAAAACAAAATATACGACAAAAAATGACACGTAAAATGAGACATGTGAGTCAACTTAATCTATTATGTCACAAAGTTAAAACTTACTGTATTTAATGTATTTAAGAGCTTCTGATGTGGTTTTAGTTAAATTTTTTCATCTTCCTTATCTGCATAATTTGGAAAGCTGTTGGTTTTGCAATATTTTTGCTACTCTTGGTCAACTTTATGATTATTTGCTTTGTGTATTATTTGAATGAGTTTTATAGTAAGTAAGTAAGTAAGTAAGTAAGTAAAGGCTTTATTTATCGAGGCTACACATTTGGTTTCCCAATCTTCCATGTGGGCCTCTAAGAAAAACATAATTTACAATATATACAACTACAATATTACAGAAATAATTGCAACAACATTGTGGTACAATGTACATTGAAATTATCAGAACAAGAAATACATGTTAAATATATACAGTCCATTCATAGCATAATACATGTCGAAGAAGTACATGTCAAATTTAACAAAGTGGGAAATATGTTTTAGTTGGTACATCAAATGATAAGATTCTAATTTTGTTATAAAATGATTAATTTAATGATGAAAAATGCCAGGATAGATATGAAGCTTGAAACAAACCCTTGAAACTTTTATTAATCACTTAACAGTCTGCAACTTGGATTTATAACTTTGAATTGTCCTTCCTTGAAATATAATAACTTACAAGCTCATTTCCTGAAACTGGAGTGTTTGACTGTGCATCCTAGAATTTATAACTTTTTAAGTATGCTGTCTGGAAACCAGTGCTGGTGAAGTATAGGAAACATGGTTGTTACCAGAATAGGGTTTGAACCCATGATTCCTGGTTTATGAGACAGAAACCTTGACAATACAGCAGCTTCTGTATTAAGCAAAATATGATCATAAGTTAAGTTGAAGGAAAAAGAAAATTATGCTCATATTTTATAATCTGAAAATAATTTTAATCATCGATAAGATATAGGAATGAATTTCTATTTTTTTACTTGAATAACAAAATCTGTTGTAATGTGTACATATATTGAAAAGGCAAATTATAATATGAGATCTTTAATTTACTGCTATTGACAAATTGTTGTCACTCAGTATTTACTTAGGATCATGATCTAAGGCCAATGACTGGCCTATGGCAAAGATATTATGATATATACTTAGTAAATGTTCTGGAGAGACAAACAAACAAGCTCTGTTTTATCATTTTATAAATTATATGCTTGATTTGTAATATTCATCCCACAGTTTAGAACTATTCACTATTTAGGAGAGTTGATATGTAAGCGACTGGATAACTCCGTTGGTAGAGCCGCAGAACTGTTTTCCAAGGGTCCCATGTTTGATTCCCGGTCAGGCTGAACATTTTTCTCACCCTGTGACATATCAGTATTGTTCAGAATTTTGTAAGTGTATACTATGTATCACAATATATATAATTATTTAAATCTAGGTGAATGAAATGAAGGACAGTGCGACACAGATTGAGGAAGAGCTGGAGAAAACCAAGAATTCCATGCACAAACACAAGATGGAGCTGGCTAGGATGAAAGATCAGATAAGCCGCATGGACAACAAAGATCCAAACTATGTAATTATATGATACATATATTACAGTAATTAGGGTAATGACTTATATGTAATATACAAGAAAAAAGAATCAAACATGGCCTGTCATCACAGACCAAAATATCTGGCTCTCTGGTAACTGGTAGAGCCTTGTTGCCATTTCAAATTGTTAGCCTTGGGTTTGATATTCAGGTATATTCAGGTCTGAATCACAGCAAGTGAAAGATTCTAATAAGATATTTGAACTATAAGGTTTGATTGATGAAAAGAAATACAAAAACTTAAAATGTATATGCAGAGGATTAAGGTTCATATTTTTATATTTTACAAGTAAAAAGAACTGCAACTGTAAAATTTTGACTCAAACATGATATCAGTGTTTGTAAATTTGTTAGTTTTAGATAAGTATCTCAGCACATTATTATTAACCCCATATGATTTTAAAGAATGTCTATTTTAAGCGAAGGGGCGTCCGTTGTTGACTTCAAACCATTTGCCCCTCACCGCTGTGGGTTCGAATCCCGACAGGAACTTTGGATTCTTTCATGTGAGGAAACTATCCAGCTAGCTTATGGAACATTGGTGGTTCTACTCAGGTGCCCGTTCATGCCTGAAATAATGCAGGGAAGGGCACTTGAGGTCTTCCTCCACCAGTAAAGCTGGAACGTCGCGATATGACCTATACTGTGTCGATGCGACATAAAACTCAAAACAAAAAAAAAAACAAAAAAAATGTAAGCAATATATTAATTTTAAGAGATATATACATGTATATATGGTAACATGATTTTAACGTATATCTAAATTTAGCGACGTATATATGCTGACATGGTTGATAAAGAGCAACAGATTAATGAGAGTAACCAGATGTATGGACAGTTACAGGAACAGCTAGAGTTGATGTTAGATACCGTGGCCAGGGAAACTAATGATATAAAAAAATTAGAACAGCAACTTAATGATGGTAAATGATTCCTGGAAAAAACAACTTTCTTTATTTTTGAAAACTTGGTCTGCCATTCCTGTATTATTTTCTTATTTTTATAAAAGTATTAACATGAAAACGTGATATTTTTCTTTTAAGTGTGGAGCTCATCTTATCAAATGACCCTGTATCTTCCTTACTATTCCAGCTAGCTTACGGAACGTTGGTGGTTCTACTCAGGTGGGGGCATCCGTGGCCGAGTGGTTAAGGTCGTTGACTTCAAACCACTTGCCCCTCACCGCTGTGGGTTCGATTCCCGACAGGGACTTTGGATTCTTTCATGTGAGGAAGCTATCCAGCTAGCTTACGGAACGTCGGTGGTTCTACTCAGATGCCCATTCGTGCCTGAAATAATGCACGTAAGGGCACCTGAGGTCTTCCTCCACCAGTAAAGCTGGAACATTGCAATATGACCTATACTGTGTCGATGTGACGTAAAACCCGAAAAAAAACAAAACAAACAATCAAATCTACTCAGGTGCCAGTTCGTGCCTGAAATAATGCACAGAAGGGCACCTGAGGTCTTCCTCCACCAATAAAGCTGAAATGTCACAATATGGCCTATACTGTGTCGATGTGGCGTAAAACCCAAAGCAAACAATCCTTACTATTCTCATTATAAGACTAGCGTTTCGCATTCCATGACACAAATTACAGAGAAACTTAATTGTTTGTTAAAGAAAAGTTCAGAGTTTCTTTAGTAATACAGGGAGAGTTCAGAGTTTCTTTTAGTTAATAAGTGAGTACTTTTCATTTTTCACACAGATACATTAGAAACAAATGAGTCACTGAGGGAGGAACTTGATGAGATTGTTGGAGGTTTACAGACATACCTGGCCCAGGTACAGACAAAGGCTGCCAAGAAGGAGAAAGATTTTGATCTGTTACTGAGAGAGAAGGAGGATATTGCCGACAGGTGTAGAAAGCTGGAGAATGAACTTAGTGTGGTTGATCAGGAGGCAAATAGTTTAAGAGATTTTGAGCGAGTAAGAGAAATTAAATTTTTTTAATCTTAGTATGTCCGGATTAATAAAAACCTTTTCCTATTGTTAAATAGTTGTTTTTTCTTCAGAATTATGATATCTATAAGGTTAAATTTATTGTGTTTTAAGTTACTCTGACTGTGTAAGCTGGCTGAATGGTTTTCTCATGTGAAATAATTTGTAGTCCCTGGCAGTATTTGAACCCACTTGGTGAGGAGCAAGTTGTTTTTTTCAGTTTAAGACCCGTATACACTCAACCATGGACTCCCTTTACTAGTGGAGGAAGATCTTGGGTGCCCTCCTGAATATTATTTTAGGCACAAACAGGCACCTGAGCTCGAACCTAAATGTGGTTTGAAATCAACAACCTTAACATTTGAATTATTGTATTTTAAGAACCTGTTAATTATCTACCCAGTTTCACATTTTAAATATTGTTGTAACATGGAATACAATATTTTGTTGTATATGAACAGAAATACATGGAACTAGAGCATTCAATGAGACATCAGGAGGACAAAAATAGAGAACTGGAGGACACCATTCACCGAACTCAACGGCAAGACCTGAACACTCAGGACAAACTTGAAAACCGAGAGCTCGAAAATGCTTCACTGAAAAAAGCACTGAAAGATATGGAATTAAAAGCTAAGGTACGGTAGTTACAGTAATTAATGGAACAAATGATTTGCTGTTCTTTTGCATGGAATTGGTTTGCAGTGCATAAGATTATACATGTTTGTTTGGTAGCATTTTAGGATATTTTCTTTTTTCAGCCTTTCACATGGAAAGAACTAAAACACAGGTTATTGACTAAGAATTCTTGTGTAAAATTAAAGTCTACCTGTATTATGATGACCATATCAATTAATATTTTGAAAGACATAACAATGCCTTAAGTTTATTGGTAAAAGTCCAGATAATTTCTGCTGATTTTGGTAAGCTGTAATCCTTTGATTCTACCCTTTTAACAGTTGGAATTAAAAGTCATATGCCTTTTCTACCAGTATAGAGCCAGGCCAGTCTGTACATCTGTGCAGTACGGCCAGGCTCTAAACTGTTGGGACTGACTTTAAATTTTGATCTTGACATCCCCAAAATTAATAAATGACAGTTTCAAAATTTGAAGCTGGTCTAATTCATTCCAAAAATTCAACAGGTTAAGAGTTAAGTGAGAAAGTGTGTCTACAAGCTTATAGCTTCCTACACAATCTAAAATAAATTCTATATAAACCAAACAAATGATGAGTTACATGAAAAGGAAAACATTTTTGCCATTGAGAATGTGACAGTTTATTGGAGATACCTTAATTAGGAAAAATGTTTGTGTATTTATGTTGTTTTGTTCAGCTATATGTCATTATATATGTGTTTACTTGTGTGTTTTTTGTTTGTTTTATGTTTGTTTGTGTCCTGTGATTTTTTTTCATGTAGGATCCAGATTTCATACAAAAACACTGGAGTCAAAGTTCGAGTCAGAACTCAGATTCTTCAAATGTTTACACCTTGTCTAAGGTATCTCACACACATATATATCATACTTATATCATATACTTATATGTGCTGCACTTAATTAAACATGTCACAATAATTTGATATTTGCAAGAAATTTAAGAAGTTTCAAAATGTATTTATTTGGTTTGTTACTGTATGTTTAATGTTATAGTACATAATGTTTTTTTTGTGCCCCCACTATAGGGGGGGGGGGAGGGGCATTTAGATTTACCCTTGTCCTTCTGTCTGTCCGTCCATTCTCTTTTTGTGTTGCACATAACTAAAAAAGTATTTGACCTAGAGTCATGAAACCTTACAAGAATGTTGCTCAGCATGTGTAGTTGTGCACCTGGGTATTTCAGTGTGGATATTTTCAGTCTTTTTAGAGTTATTGCCCTTGATTTTGTAAAAATCTGCAATTTTCAACTTGTGTTGCACATAACTAAAAAAGTATTTGACCTAGAGTCATGAAACCTTACAAGAATGTTGCTCAGCATGTGTAGTTGTGCACCTGGGTATTTTCGTGTGGATATAATATTTTGAGAGTTATTGCCCTTGACTTAGTAAAAATTTCCAATTTTCAACTTGTGTCGCACGTAACTAAAAAAGTATTTGAGGTAGAATCATGAAACCTACAGGAAATTATTGCTCAGCGTGTGTAGTTGTGCACCTGGGTATTTTCATGTGGATATTTTTAGCATTTTTAGAGTTATTGCCCTTGACTTAGTAAAAATTAACATTATTCAACTTGTTTTGCATGTAACTCAAAAAGTATTTGACCTGTAGGCCTGAAAGTTAACAAGAATGTTGGTCAGCATGTGTACTTACGCACCTTGGGGTTTTCTTGTGGGTTTATTCAGTATTTATAGTATTTGCCCTTTACTTAATAAAAGATTTTTAGTTTTGAACTTTTTGTAGACAAAAAAAATATTTCACCTAGAGACATAAGATTGACAAATCGGTGGAGTGTTGGGACACCCGTGTCCTATGGACACATTTCTAGTTTGTTTTGTTTTTTCGTTTTTTTTAAATTGGTTTTTAAATCTTTTACTCCCAAACATCAGTACTTGTTTGAATATATTAACAGTTTGGATACACTGGATAATAATACCAGTTTTACCATTATCATGTTTGCTTAAAGAGAATAAAAAAAGATGATTTGTTTTGGTAAATAGCTTTAATTAATAGTTCAACCTCGAATGCTATTATAGATTATCGTATTCATTTTAATTATTAATCATTTTGATTATTAATAAAATACTAAAAACATTTATTTTTTTATTGTCTGTAGGTTACATAATGTCTTCCATTTTTGCTGTTTATTAGGGAGATATTGTCATTGAAAGAATGTTATAGGAATAGGACATTGTAAGCAAAATTTGAAATATCTTAATTTGATTTGCGAATTAATTATTATTCAATAGACAAAACAGTAATTTTGTAGAATTGATATTTTGGTATGATTTCAAAGGATGGAGAATTTATATCAAAGAACATCTCCAAAAACCAGCATTCCACGCCCGTAACTTCCCCAAACGGAGATATTGTACAGAAGAAGACGATTAGCATTTCTGAAACTATCCCTGGAATTATTCCTCATAATAAAGTTGCTGAAATGTTCCCTCAATTAAAAAATGAGGAAGCCATGCGTAAAAGACTTGAGGTATTCTGACGTATATATAGTAAAAGCCTTCATTTCTTGAAAACATATCTTACTTTGTTACTTTATTATTGGTTCCAGAAGTATGGAATTGTATAAAATTTATGTTATAGAATTAAAAAAACGAACTTGTGTTTCAATAAATGGATTTTGATGAATGAATAAAGTTGGAGTTAAATGAAAACACATAAGGAAGAATAGTAAAAAATTTGGACTTCTAGAAATTCAGGGATTAAGAATACATATTTTCTAATTTCATGACAAAAAAAGATTTTTGAATTAACTTTTAGTGTATTTCTTTCCTTAAATTCCTTAAACAAATTCATATGTTTCCAGAAAGTTGGCTTAACATTGTAAAGGCAGGGTAACTCAATCCATATACCTTTTATAGGAATATAGTTTTACACGTAAGACACATTAGTTTTATGAAATCTCATATCTGTTTCTGTAAATAATTTTTTATATCCCTTCATGCTTTTTCTTATATAATTATGTTCAGTCTTGTAAAAGGTGTTAGGTTTAAGGAATTCCTTGACCTTTTATGACAAAAATAGGAGCCCAGGTAGTTAAGAGATAAATATTGCAGCAATCCAGTCACTCACACTGCTATGGGTACTAGTCCTACCTTCGACATTCAATTATTTCATGAGTACAATAATAAAAGCTATCTTTTTGAAGATTTTTAATTTTATTAGAATGCACAAAGCTAACTAAAATACATGTAATTCATGATTACTAGCCTGCAGTCTGTCACCCCAATTACAAGCTAGAAAGTACATTTGTTACTTAATAACAGTGTAGGTTTGAATAAGTGCCCAACCAAGTAAAATTTAAAAAAAACAACAGAATAATGAGGTAATTAGAACAATTATTTGGATGAGGTCCTGCCTTTACAATATTTATAGGAAGTCTAACAATAACAAAAGTCTTCATATAATCAGTGGTAAGCTTTAACTCTCATTATGACAAAAATACAAAATCTGTCTTGATACAAGAGCAAGCATTTCATAAACTTGCATTACTAATGCTGTTAGTTGAGTATAGTTAATTATTAGGAACTTTTAGACAATGTTATATTATTATAGTTACAGGAATTTCTGGGATATGGACAGCTTTTTAACATGCTAGTGTATAATGATATCTTCCATTACAGGATATTCATGCTATAAAGTAACTTATTTGATATATATTATTACTAAGTTATGTGCAGACTTTGGAAGAACAGGGTCAACAAACTTCATCATTGTCATTTAAAATAGCTTATGAAAATGTCACTTGTATCTGCTTTGGTTAGTCATCTCCATTTACAATAGATAAGTTTGATTATTAGTTAATGTCTTATAAGTTAAGAGGGCAATGTAAGTGCATCGGGTACTATGTTTACAGTACTATGTACAGTAATGGGGTTGGGGTTTTATGTATACAGTACAGTGTATGTGGGTGGGGTATTATGTTTACAGACTGCATTGTTAGTGGGCAGGGTACTATTTTTACAGTAGAATGTAAATGAGTGGGATATCATATTTGCAGTACAATTTAAGTTGATGGGGTACTATATTCACAGTACAATGTAAGTGACTGAGGTATCATGTTCACAGTACAATGTAAGTGGGTGGGATTTCATGTTTACAGAACAATGTAAGTGAGTGGGTGGGGTATCATGTTTACAGTACAATGTAAGTGGGTGGGGTATCATGTTTACAGTACAATGTAAGTGGGTGGGGTATCATGTTTACAGTACAAACTTAAATAATATTGTAAATATTATAATATCTTTCAAATCTTTTTCATAAATACATAAAAATAAGTTTTGATATATATTATGTATTATTAATATTTCTGAATAATGTCCTTGATTAATACAAGTTAAATATGCTCTTTAAAAACATATATATCTTTTTTATTTGTCAGAAGTCTTTTCAGGTGATTGGGTGCCTTGTCTGTCTGTCTATCTGTCTGTTTGTCTGTCTATATGTCTATATATGAATGTTTATCTGCCTGTCTTTTTTTGGTTTAATTTGATTTATGCTTTGATAAGTAACAAACTTGCCCTGCTAAGAAATTTCTACTGCTGATTTGACTGGGAAGTCAAAGTAAAAACACTAAGCCTGCAGTTAGATGTACAGGGTCAAGTTTGATTCCATGTGCAATACATGTGTATCATCGAGAGAAAATTTTATTAGAGCTGTATACATGTATTTACAAGGATTCTTATGGAAGGATTTCTAATAGAATAAACTGTGTTTGTGTAAAAAAAGAACGTTTATTTCAGGTGTAAAAGGTAGTATTTAATTTGTTGTTCTTTTTATCAATGAAATTTGTAGTCTACATTGTCCTGATGAATACATGTAGTTATGAAAATTTCTTGGCCATTGAGTGGGTGGGATATCATGTTTGCAGTACAATTTATGTGGGTGGGATATCATTTTTACAGTACAATTTAAGTGGGTGGGATTTCATGTTTACAGAACAATGTAAGTGAGTGGGTGGGGTATCATGTTTACAGTACAATGTAAGTGGGTGGGGTATCATGTTTACAGTACAATGTAAGTGGGTGGGGTATCATGTTTACAGTACAAACTTAAATAATATTGTAAATATTATAATATCTTTCAAATCTTTTCTATAAATACATAAAAATAAGTTTTAATATATAATTATTATGTATTATTAATATTTCTGAATAATGTCCTTTATTAATACAAGTTAAATAATTATGCTCTTTTAAAAACGAATATATCTTTTTTATTTGTCAGAAGTCTTTTCAGGTGATTGGGTGCTTTGTCTGTCTGTCTGTCTATCTGTCTGTTCGTCTGTCTGTATGTCTATATATGTATGTTTATCTGCCTGTCTTTTTATGGTTTAATTTGATTTATGCTTTGATAAGTAACAAACTTGCCCTGCTAAGAAATTTCTACTGCTGATTCGACTGGGAAGTCAAAATAACACTTAGTCAGCAGGTACATGTACAAGGATTCTTATGGAAGGATTTCTAGTAGAATATTACTGTGTTTGTGTAAAAAAACAATGTTTATTTCAGGTGTAAAAGGTAGTATTTAATTTGTTGTTCTTTTTATCAATGAAATTTGTAGTCTACATTGTCCTGATGAATACATGTAGTTATGAATGACAGCATGTGGATGATAAGAAGCTAAAACATGTTCTTGTTCTATCATCAATTCTCATTTGATTGGTTTCTATAATTATAGTCATTATATATAAAATTTTATCAGACTGGTTATTTATAGTAACATGAGTCTGATATTTTACTAATACGATAGTGGAGTTTTTGCAATTATCAGTTAACAGCAACATATTTTATGTCTGAATTGATTGGTTTTATACAGCAACTTGCATAATTTGCTTTGATTGGCTATATTGTATATAAACTCATATTTAAACTTTTATTAAATTTGTTAAAATTCAGTATTAAGAAGATCATGGTCTGAAATTTAACCGGTTATGTCACATATCTCTGATCTCTGATTTGATGTTAGATTGCTATATGGACCGTGCCATGTTTTGATTTTATTTTTTCTTTCACCAACTAAAGCAATGTATATTAAAATTTAAATTTGACATGTTTACATTAACAGTCAAGTTTGTAAGCCATGTTTTCATTGGATATTTACAATCAAGTTTGTAAGCCATGTTTTCATTGGATATTTACAATCAAGTTTGTAAACAGTGATTTCATTGGATATTTACAGCAAGAGAAACAAACCCTGGAGAAGCAACTACAAACAGAGAAAGCTAAGGCTATAGAAGGTGATAGAAAATCAAAGGAAGCCCAGAGAAAGGATGATGAAATCAGGAAGCTGATGTCACAGTTAGAAACCTCCAAGGTTTGTTATCATTATACCACTGCTTTTAAAGCAGCAGGCCTCCAGATGAACCAAAATATTTCAATAAAATAAAACTTGAGAAAAATGTACTGAGATTTTAGGAAGAGAAGAAAGATTCAAGATTCTAGTAATGATTTACACGTTATGAATGATTAATCGTTAATGTTTCATTATGTATAACTATATTTCTACTGTGTTACTAACCCAGTAAGGGCAGTTTTTGCCTATTTTGTCAATTATCTGTATTTATACCCCCAAAAACGAAGTTTGGGGGGGTATATAGGAATCACCCGGTGGTCGGTCGGTCGGTCGGACTGTCGGTCTGTCCAGACGTCCGTTGCATTTTCCTTGTCCGGAGCATAACTTGAAGACTAATGGTTTGGAATTCAATATAACTACATACAATGGTCAAGCACATTGAGAGGAAGTGCAGTGCACAAGAACCATAACTCTATCTTGACTAATTACAGAGTTATTGCCCTTTGTTACTTTTCCTTGTCCGGGGCATAACTTGAAAACTACTGGTTGGAATTCAAAACAACTTCATACAATTGTCAAACACAATAAGGGGAAGTGCAGTGCACAAGAACCATAACTCTACCTAAAGTAATTACAGAGTTATTGCCCTTTGTTGCTTTTCCATTGCTTTTTTTTGTCCGGACCATAACTTGAAGACTAAATGTTTGAATTCAATATAACTACATACAATGGTCAAGCACATTGAGAGGAAGTGCAGTGCACAAGAACCATAACTCTATCTTGACTAATTACAGAGTTATTGCCCTTTGTTACTTTTCCTTGTCCGGGGCATAACTTGAAAACTACTAGTTGGAATTCAAAACAACTTCATACAATTGTCAAACACAATAAGGGAAAGTGCAGTGCACAAGAACCATAACTCTATCTAAAGTAATTACAGAGTTATTGCCCTTTGTTGCTTTGCCATTGCTTTTTTTTTGTCCGGACCATAACTTTAAGACTAATACTTTGAATTCAATATAACTATATATAATGGTCAAGCACGTTGAGAGGAAGTGCAGTGCGTAAGAACCATAACTCTATCTTGACTAATTACAGAGTTATTGCCCTTTGTTACTTTTCCTTGTCCGGTGCATAACTTGAAAACTACTGGTTGGAATTCAAAACAACTTCATACAATTGCCAAACACAATAAGGGAAAGTGCAGTGCACAAGAACCATAACTCTATCTAAAGTAATTACAGAGTTATTGCCCTTTGTTGCTTTGCCATTGCTTTTTTTTTGTCCGGACCATAACTTTAAGACTAATACTTTGAATTCAATATAACTATATATAATGGTCAAGCACATTGAGAGGAAGTGCAGTGCGTAAGAACCATAACTCTATCTTGACTAATTACAGAGTTATTGCCCTTTGTTACTTTTCCTTGTCCGGGGCATAACTTGAAAACTACTGGTTGGAATTCAAAACAACTTCATACAGTTGTCAAGGACATTAAAAGGAAGTGCAGTGCACAAGAGCCATAACTCCATTTTGACAAAATACAGAGTTACTGCCCTTTGATGCTTTTCCTTGTCAGGAGCATAACTTAAAACATACTGGTTGGAATTCAAAACAACATCATACAATGGTCAAGCACAATAAGAGGAAGTGCAGTGCACAAGAACTATAACTCTATCTTCAGTATTTATAGAGTTATTGCCCTTTGTTCCTTTTCTTTGTCTTTCTGGACTTATTACAGAGTAATTCAATTAAACTTCATCAATGGCCAACCACATTGAAAGGAAATGCAACATATAAGAACCACAATTATCTTTAATTGCCCACAACCATAACTCTATATTTCAATTCTTTTACAAGGTATTCTGTTACAAGTAACATCCTCATTTCAGAAGCAGTCTTGTGGGGGTATTAATCACATTTAGTGATAGTTCTAGTTAGATTTTGTCAAGCATTCGCCGAAAACTTCTGCTTTAAAATATGTTCAACCTTTAGCAATAAATATTAAATGTATTAGATTTTGGTATTGAAAATTGGAAAGTCCCAAAACATCATTTAAACCAATACTAGCATTTTCAGAGTATAAAATACATACTTTTAGGGCTTAATAACTAAGATTTAGATCCAAGAATTTGAAATAGAAACAGTTATTTTGCATTGTCAGCATAGTACAGCTTTGGAGGAATTTTTTACTAAAACAACCCCAAACTTCAGGACTAAATTGTTCTTTAATTCCTGATTATGTGTAGACTTATTTGTTGGAACTCTCTTTTCATTTTCAATGACGTTGAAGCAAGAAAACAAAAAGAACAAAAACAGCCATCATTGTAGAGTGATAAATCTCTGTAAAGATCTTAAGGTCTCAGACACAGCATGGCTTTGTGATGATATGCACGTCCTGCTTTGTATTTGGTGTGCTGAATAAAAGTCAGTTTAGTGAGTAATGTTTAAGCATGTATGGAGACAAAAACTTTTGATTTTATTTCCAGGCTCAGAATGTTGCATTAAAAGACAGGGTGGAGCAAGAACAACAGACTTTACAGACCAAAGTAGCAGAAAGTACATCAAATGCTGACCTGAGACGTAGATTAAAAGACCTGTCTCAATGCTTGAAACAAAATAAGGTAAATTATGATGATAATAAAAAATATCATGTGCAATTTATACGCAAGTAATAGAAAGTTATTAAATACATAATGTAAAATTTTAAGAATTAAGATTATAAGAATTGGTTAGACTTAAATACTGGATGAGAATATATCTGTTTGAATGAAGAAAGTTGTTAAATTTATATGTAAGATTAAAAGAATTGGTATATAAGACTTCAATATTGGATGAGAATAAGCTCTGTGGAATGGAAGTGGTCCTTAATTACTATAAATTCAGCAAATTTCATTTATTGCTTTGACTTTAACAATGTTGATATGTTGTGTTGTGTTTTTAAAGGTAACCATTGAGCCAGAAGGAGACCGTGATTTCGTCGGGAAAACTTTCAAGGATATTCAGGGATTTGTTCAAGACCGTGTCAACAAGAGTACACAGGATTTGGACACGACTAGAACCAGACTAGATAAAAGTGATCATGATAACCAGTCTCTACGAGAGCAGATGAAACGTCTGCAGGATAAATTAAATAAACGAGATGAAAAAGTGAAAAATGACAAAAATAAGGTATACATGCTTATGTTAATGGTCATATCTGAACTTTCTGTAGACACTAGATCTCATTTCCTTACTTTTTGTCACGTTATTACCTGTTTCATTTAAATTCTTTTTCACCAGTAATAAAATTCAGCATTGAATGCAATGATAAAGTTAGAAAATAAAATTTTTGTTTGCGGTCATTTAATTGGGCTAATTACAGATGAACCGTGTCCATTTGTGCATGAAAATTAATAATTGAATATGAAGATACAAGTCTGAGATAAACATTTGTGACACACTTTTCCCTATATATACTGTAAAACCAAAATTCTAAGTGGAAAAGCAGATTATAATAGTCAGTCTGCATGAAGCTGGTTCCTCTAGTGCCTTTATTTTGATTGTATCAAAGAATCTAGACATTTTTGTCTGTTTAGTCTTTGTCAAGAAATTAAAGCATACATTTTTTTTCTAATTTGTGAAAGTGAATTTTTCTTCTGAATATGTCTTTAAATGATGATCTTTCATTCATTGACAATTATATATTACAGGCAAGAGAAGAGAAGAAAGCTGATGTCGAGGAGATCAAGAGATTAAATGATGAAAATAACAGACTGAAAAATGCTCTCAAAGAGGCTAAAAATCGCACCAAACAGGTAATACAAATGTTCTGTAACACAAAATTATGTTCCAGAATTTGATGTGATTTTAAATCAGTGATCCATTAATTTATATTTGGGGGACAAAAAATCATTGCTTATTTCCTTTTATAGCAGGGGCTGTTTAAGGAAAGCTTCCCCCAAAAACTATTCTTTTAAAATCATGCAATTTCCCCCAGAAATTGAATTTACAGCAAGACAAGAAATAAACATGGGAGTATCTTGCTGAAAATAATATAGTACAGAAACTGAAGTTGAAGATTCAAGCAAAAACTTCATAATTCAGTGTTTATTCTAGGATTTCGAAGAACAGGGGGGATTTTTATTGAAAAGTTAGAATTTATTACATTTGTTGATCTTTTTCCTTCTATGTCTATGTAAAATTTTCCCCCTTCCTCTCAAAAAATACGGGTGATTTCTCAAAAATATGGGTGAATCCCCCCATCGCCCCTCCTAGAATAGACACTGTTCACTATGTCATACTAGAGAAACAACATGATAGTTAGGTCAACATTTTATTTTTTATCTTCAGGGTAAAGGTTCAACAAAGATGGTACATGATCAGGAAACAGAGTCTGTATTCAGTCGTCGCAGTTCACTGAACTCAGAGGAGAAACACCTGTTTGATGAATTACAGAATGAACTGATGTCTCTGAAGAGAATTATGAGAAGTAAAGAGGATGATGCCAACAAAAAGGTTAGTTAGTTGTCTATAAATAGATCATTATTTCCAAATAAAGATTATTATGTCTATATATAGATCATATTTCAAAACATAGATTATTATGTCTATTTATAGATCATATTATTGTCAATAGAAGTATTCCGGAACTCAGCAAATTTTAGGTTTTTCCCCATCTATTTCCGGGATACAAACAAACTTTTACAGTTACAACACAGTTTACATAATAAATCCTGCATGGATCTTCTACGTATATAAATCTATTTCTAGATTATAATAACTACATGATGAAAATAATTACTATAAATACAAGTATTTTAGACTTAAGCTTGATTAAAAACCCTATGTCTTTTTGTTCATAGTGAATGGACTTGTGAATATTATGATTTTGAAACCATTGTAAGAAAGTACATTTTGCTACATGTATCTTCCTCCACCACTATAGCTTGGAAGTTACCATACATGTATCACTGAGCTTTGCCAGTTTGTAATGAGAAAAAAACAAAAACAATAAAAACATATACAATGTATAAATAATTAGATGTATATGACATTGACTTGGACTTATTATAGATAAAAGATTTGAGAAAAATTGGGGTAAGTTAGTGATTCACAGGCTTCCGTTTTACAAAATAAGAATTTTTTTTAAGTATTTAAGGAATTGGGTTTATGTATTTTACTTTTTCTTCTTGTTTTTGATAGGTGGAACCTTTGGTACATAGAAAAATTTCACTTTGATTTGTGATTTATATGTATGACATCACACTTTGCACATGTTATCAGTTTAAAATTAAAATCTCTGTGATCAGTTGGTTAAGATAATTGACTTTTAATCACTCAGTCCTCATCACTGTATATGAGCCGCGTCATGACAAAACCAACATAACGCGTTTGCGACCAGCATGGATCCAGACCAGCCTGCTCATCTGTGCAGTCTGATTAGGATCCATGCTGTTCCCTATCAGTTTCTTTAATTGTAGAGTTGGTAAGCGAACGCACTATGTTGGTTTTGTCATGACGCGGTACATATATGTTTGAACCTCATTTGAAATACTGTAGGAGTGAACCTAATATCAAATTCAATACTATGGATTTTAACCTGAAAAGATGAAGAGAAGTTCTGTGAGTTTAAACCTTATAAAAAAACACAAAAGATTTGAATGGGAAAAAAAAAGCATCTTGGGTTAAATTCCAAAAAAAATACTGTAAATTTGAACCCCTTAATACACTTTGGAACTTTAAGGAAGCAGTGGGTTTGAAACCTGTAAGGAACACTATGGGTTAGATCCCTTTACGATAAGCAGATAGATATTCAGCCGAGAGTTCATCTCAGTGGTTCAAACTAAAATCATGCACAGAAAAGCACATTAGGGGTTTTCTCTCACCAATGCAGCACAACAGTCAACATAAGACCAGGGGCAATGTCTGAATAACTTCAGAATCAATGAAAAAAAAAAATTTAAAATTTATATTTTTTACAATGCATGTCAACTAGTTAAAGATCTAGAATATTATTATGGTTTTCTAGTACTTTATTTCCTGAAAAAAGTAGCATTACATTAGAAATTATTTCACTTTGTCATAAAAGTAGGAAAATGTAAAAGTAATAATTTGACTTCCATACAAAATACTAAATAACTATAACTATACTAATAGCCAAAAAGTAATAAATGCAACAGACAGTGCAGGTCATTTGCTCATTGGTTACTTTTTGGATACTATAAAATGACACCAAAAATAAAAATTTGAGAAAAGAAAAGAAATAAAAAGCATTACTGCAGCTATAATGGGCTTTTAATATTTTTGAATGTTTTATTAATGAATTAATAAGTAGTTGAAATCACAGTAGTTTTTCAATTTTTTGGATATATTACCAGCATGAATTTTTAAATTTCTTTCATTAATTTGGTATGGTTTTACTCAAAATATTAATTATTATAATCTTGCCACAGGTATTTAATTTTAATTTATTTATTGTTATATGAAATTTCTCCCTCTAATGTTTTCACTATGTCTATGTCTGGGTTTGTACACTTTTTTCTTACAAACATTGCAAGATTTTACCTAATATTTCTCTCCGGAACAATAATTATAAAGCAAATAGATTAGAGCCTGTAATAGTCTCTAATATCTTTGTTTTCATTGATTGTAAAAAAGCAGATAAAGATCTACAATAGAGAAGAATCTAAGCTTACTAATGCATGTACAAGAAATGTCCATTAATAAGAAATAAAATATTATGTTGACAGTTGCTTGATGCTGAGGCAGAGGCAGCCATGTTGGAACAGAATTTACAAGACAAGGAAGAAAGTTATCAGAATGAGATTGAGCGACTCAGAGAACATATGGAAATGCAGCGGGTTTGTTTGTATTTCTTATAAATCTGTAAAAATCGTCATTGAATAGGAAAAGTTTCAGTGTCACCCGCGACAATTAAGTGTTTTTGTAAAGGGTTTTCCCTTGTTTTGTTTCTTAAAATTGTTTTTAAAAATATTTAGTGTTTGGGAAAGGGGGAAAATTTAAGCAGAAATGAGTTAAAAAAATTTTTTAAAATTAAAACTTGCTTATATTCATTCCCCCTATAATGAATGTGAAAGACTTTAAAAGGGAAATTTGGGTTTAGTGTTTGCAGGGGAAAAAAGTCCCAGGGGCAGGGGGAAAAACATTTTTTAAATAAGAATTTATCCTTTTAACCAGTAAAAGTAAAAACAACAGGATTTTTACATAAGATTTTGTTCTTTACAAAAATTAAACAAAACCGGGTTAAAGGATTTTTTTTATAAAATGGTCTTACTGTCATGGCAAGCTTTATAGCATTTCTGTGACAAATTAAGTGTGTATAAAATGATGACAAATGTAAGATACTTTCTATCACATCTTGTTTTATGGTAACAAAAATTGAAAAATGATGAAATTATCAATTGATGCAAGTTTTCAAAATGATCTTACAAATTTATTTTATGTATATTACTTCATGGGTAATGAGATCATGAAGTTTTATATTAAACATGTATCATATTAAGAAATACCAAATGCTTATTATCCCTCGCCGAAAGGCGGCCAGGGATATAGAAATAGTTTTCGTCCGTCCTTCCTTTCGTCCGATATTTTTGTCCGGAGCATATCTCAAAAAGTATTTGAGGTATCAACTTGAAACTTCATAGGTGGATAGATCATATTCAGGAAGAGGTGCAGTGCACAAGAAAAGATAAATCCTACCCTTGGGCATTTATTGTGGTTCATTTATTTGGCCATTATTATTTTTGAAACTTAAAATTTTTGTGTCCAGAGCATAACCCAAAAAAAGCTTATGGAATATCAACATGAAAACTTCATAGGTGGAAAATCTACCGAAGGTGTGCAGTGCATAAGAATAAACCTCTACCCCCTTTCATTAATTTTCTTGGTTATTGCCTTTGATATTTTTCAAATTTTTTTTTTTCATTGTGAGTGGAGCAAAACCTAAAGTCTTTGAGAGTAAACATTAACTTTCATAGGGGATAGATCTTTATTGAAAGGAGGAATGCTGTGCACAAGAATGATCACTCTTCCAATTAAATATCATTTTTTGGATATTGCCCTTTGTTATTAGTCCCTACCCGGTTTTTTTAACCGGGGGGATTTAGGTTTACCTCCGCCGTCCTGTCTTCCTGGGTTCCGTCCCCTGTCTGTCTGTCCGTCCTGTCAGTTTCCGTCCCGTCCACAAAACGGATCCCGGGATAAAGCAAAAAGTAATGGAAAATTTTTTTATGAAACTTGATATATGGATAGGATGGCAAGTATGGAGAAGTTATGCAACGTCCCTTTTTTTTTTCTTCCTATGTTGAAAATTCTGGTTGCATGGCACAAATTAGTCTAAAATATGGCCAAAAATTTAACAACATAAACTGGATCCATGATAACTCAAAAAAGTACTGAAAATATTTTTTTATGAAAATTGAAAATATGGGAAAAAGGCATCTGGAGATTATGCACATATTTTTCTTTTCTTCTTTCCTTGTGAAAATTCGGTTGCTAAATGGCAAAAAATAGGCCCTGAATTTCAAGATTTTCTGATTTTTAAATTTTTCAGGACTTTTTCAAACTATAGTGTTTTTTTTTCTTAATAGGGGGTTTACTTCAAACTTTAAATATACAATTTCTGGTCATCAAACCAGCATATAATGTGGACAAGGTTTTATAACTCTAGCCAAAAAATTATTCAGTATTTCCTCCCTTTAACTTAGATTTTTAAGGGGAAAAAATGTTGTCTTTTTTAAATAACTTCTCTTCTTTATTCCTAATGGTATCTACTTAAAACTTCATAATTGTTTCTTATTATCACTCCGAACATTTTTGGAAGGTTATAATACTCTAGCAAGCCCCTAATTTCCAAAAAATTTTGGTCCCCCCTTGAACTTAGGATTTTTTTCGAAGAAACTGGTTTTTCAGATTCCCAATTCTTCATTCCTTATAGGGATTTACTTTAAAATCCCACATCGTAATTTAATATGAAAGGTTGTTAAACCATAATTTCCTTACTAAAGCATTTGGAAACTTAACCACATTACTGTGATAATAGACCAAACTTATTTTTATTAATGTTTTGTTGGGTTTGATATTTCAAAATACAGACTTCATCCTCAAATTCATTATAAATGGCAATACCCCAGGAGTGTATGACAATTAAAGAATTTTTGGGACCTTAGGGGAATACTGTATTTGCCCGCAATACTATCAAATGCTTGTTTTTTTCATACTTTTTGTCCGGAGCTTATCTCAAAAAAGTGTTTTTTTAGAGGTATCAAATGAAACTTCATAGGTGAATATGAGACCCTGCATAATTTTTCAGTTATTGCCCCTTTGTTATTTTCATGCTTAATTTTTGTCCAGAGCATAACTAAAAAAAGCCTTTGAGATATCAAACTTGAAACTTAATAGGTGGATAGAATCTCATTGGGGAGGAGTGCAGCACACAAGAATGATAACCCTACCCTGCATTATTTTTCAAGTTATTGCCCTTTGTTATTTTCAGCCATCAGTATTCCACATAGGTTTCAAATCTGTAATCACCTTCAGCCATCATTACCAAAAAGACCTCTTAAAATTGAATTATTTGCTCTACAACATATATATCCTTCCAATGAGCAAACACATTCAGCGGAGATGGCCATGTTGACATGGCTCTCTGTATTAGATTTAAAATAAGCAGTGGCCATAAGAATAGATTTTTCACACACCCGTGCCGATTTTGCGACTCCGTAAAAATGATATTGCACGGCCGTGCATATATTTTGACGTGAACGTCATTAAGCGTTATACAATCATAGTGTAAAGACCGCGCTAAATTGTTAGCGTTAATAGACAATAGGCGCATCAATGAAAAAATTACCCTTATTTCACCCTTTAAACGGTCCTTTATTTTGGGTATGTGATAAATAGAAATATTACATTTGTTTAAGTTTTTTACTGAATTTATTACACTCGTTGAATAAAATAATGTTATGCTGGCCAGAGGCTCGCATTATATAATTTTATTCAACTCGTGCAATAAATTCAGTATTGAACTTACATTTATTCAATATCCTCTATATAGTAACTTTAGTAGCAGATAAATGTGCATGGAAAATTGAAAAAAAGAATAACTGAAAACTAAATGCAATGTATTATGTATGTGAAATAATAACTTTAAGTTTCTGTTCACTTAACTGATAGAAAAAAGTTAAAATTGATTGTATACAGTATGTTAAATGAACAGTGTCACGACAAAACCAACATAATGGGTTTGCGACCAGCATGGATCCAGACCAGCCTGCGCATCCGCACAGTCTGATCAGGATCCATGCTGTTCGCTTACAAACCCTATAACAAATAGATAAACTGATAGCGAACAGCATGGATCCTGATCAGACTGCGCGGATGCGCAGGCTGGTCTGGATCCATGCTGGTCGCAAACCCAGTATGTTGGTTTTGTCGTGACACGGCTCAAATGTGTTTTTGTTAATTGATATAGGAGAGACAGGAAGCAAGGATGCAGGTTATAGCAGCTGATCTTGACCAGGCTACACAGGTAGCAGACTTTCTACAGAGAACCCTAGATGATCGTGAGGCACAACTTCATAGTGAAGTTCAACAAAGTGACATGAATAATCAGATGATAAGTATGTTATAACTGTTATGTTAATTTTTACTCAGTTTTACCCTTAACTTGCTTGAACCAAACATCATTAACTTTTGCCAAAGGAATAGAGCCAGGTTGGTCTATGTGTCAGTGCAGTCTGACAGACTGACTTGGCTCTATACTGTTAATAAATCATTTTGGTAAAAAGTATTGTGATATTGATATTAAAATGCCTAAAAATTTGAATTTACCTTTACAAATTTAAAGCAAGGCATAACAAAAGTTCAAGAGATTAAGGGTTAACTTTTACCCAACAGTACAGATATGTATGTGATGCTCTGTCCCTGCTGTTGATTTAGTAATGATTATTATCAGTCTGTTATTTGTATATATCACTATATAATAATGTTCACTTATGGTGAAAAGATTTATATCACAGATACAATAACTTACATGTATAAAAATTCCTGATGAAGGTTTAAAAAGACCAAAGCCGATCCTTGAACAAACCTAAGTTCACAAAGCATTCTGATGTTTGATGTGCGTTGTCTGAGTCCTTCTCTTGATTTACTTGATGTATAAAAATTGTAAACTTGAAATACCTTGTCTGAATTTGTAAAAATGCCATTGTTATTTTAAAGGGGTTATCAAAAGCTGTAAGTGAGCAATCAATAGTATTGAATCTTATCAGACTTAATAGAATAATGAAGATAATACATGAGGCAATAAGTAATTTGTCCAAATTACCACCAACATTTTATTGGGTAAATACATGTGTTTATTTGTTGTATATTCCAGCTACACAAGAAGATGAGTTATCTAAACTGTATGATATACTAGAAGCCCAGAAAGAGGAGTTAGATAGACTGAATGGAATGCTGGATCAGATATCTGGTCATGGTGGCTCACTTGGTAAGTTAAACGTTTGTGATACTTGAGAATTATTAGCATATAAATGCAGAAGATACCTAAATTGTTGACCACTTTAGAATAATTGTTAGTTTATTCAAATTTATTTTAGTTTCATTGTTTTGGAAGCTATAAGCTAATTGAAACACACTCGAATTCATTCCTGGAACTAACCAGTACTTAGCAATGAGTGTAAAGTTTTTTGCACAAGGAAATAATGGCTTGCCCCTAATGGGGTTTGAACTCACGCAGATCCAAAATTCAGCAAAATTGGGGTTTTTCAAGCTACTTCCTTCTGTAATTTCACAATTGATTAATTGTAATAAGTTGTAATTGTAAAATTCCGTTTGTACCTGTAGATTAGCTTGAAAAATCAAATTATATTCTTTATTTTGTCATTTTATTATGGTATACTAAACTTATACTACATTCAGGAAACAATACATTATTGACAGTGCTTTGTTTAGTACAGTAGATGAGAACTATGGTTTAACATTTTTTCTGAAAGAATATAAGAAGGGAAATAATCAAACTGGCTACACATGGCTTTAAAGTATATAATTATCTCCCTTGTTTTTGTATATAGGTACAGCTGGAGCAGATGAAGAGTTATGGAAGTTGAGGCAGGAAGTGAACAACTTAAAGGAGACTCTCGCCATGCAGTCAGCATACGTTCAGACAATGCCACCACCTCAAACATCAGCCGGGGTCCAGGCTAGTACTGGTACAGGGACACAGTATTATCTTACAGTGAGTACTTTGGTTTTAATATCTGTATTGTGAAAATTAATATAGTATTGACATCATTTGATGGTACTCTTATACATATATGGTACTCTTGTATTCAAGTTATTCTAAAACAGAGTAGAGGATTTAGAGAGAAGATCTTGTTTTTTAAAGCATGAATCCGTGTATTCATTGAAAAGACAAACATAATACTAAATTATAATAAGGTTTCATTATAAGGTTTATTTGAAGGAATCAAACATGTCATTTGAATGAGACAATAGTTTCATGTGCACAAAATATTGTTTAAATATTCTCACATTATCTTGAGACAAGGAAATAATATTGATATCTCTGGATGGCCCTCAAATGATTTGCCACAGCTCACCAAAGGTAATGGCCTAAAAGCTCTATTTACTATTTTCGGCCATTATGACACTTATATTTAAATTTCGGCACTTTATTGCCAGCATTGTCCTTTTTATGAAAACTTTAATGTAATCATAGGAAATAAAATGCACAGAAACTACTGTTTGTGTATTTACAGGACCATGGTCAGGCAGCAGGACCCACCTACAGACCTATACTATCACAGTACAGGGAACAACAGATGTCTATGGTACCCCCTGTGCCTGGAATGACTAGCATGGTTAGTGGTTTGGTTCAAAATATATTTATTATAAACCCTCCTTCCCCTTCTACACTTTGTCTTGATCAGTTCCTTTTTATACGCTCTTTTGAAAAATGGGTCATATTATAGGAACACCTCTGGCGGATTGACTGATAGGCAGTCTGGGGAGCTGGTTACACGTAGGGGTCAAAGTTCTGATAAAAGTTGTGTCGCATTCAAGAATTACGTCTCTACCTCAAAGGTCAAGGTCACACTATCATTTTGAAGTTTGACATTATCGCAATTTCAGGAAATAGGTACACACATTCGTGTCTGGACTGTAACTTTGTCATGCATTGAATGATTTTTAAATAACTAGGCATAAATGTCTACCACTTCAAGACAATGTGTAGCGTCCAAGAATTACGTCTCTACCTCAAAGGTCAAGGTCACTTTACCATTTTGAAGTTCACTTTATCACAGAGTTTATAGGTACACCCATTTGTGTCTGGGTGGTAACTTTTTAGCTCACCTGTCACAAAGTGACAGGGTGAGCTTTTGTGATCGCTTTTCGTCCGGCGTCCGTCCGTCCGTCCGTCCGTCGTCCGTCCGTCCGTCGTCCGTAAACTTTTACTTTAAATGACATCTCCTCATAAACCACTAAGCCAATTTCATCCAAACTTCACAGGAATGTTCCTTTGGTGGTCACCTTTAGAAATTGTTCAAAGAATTTAATTCCATGCAGAACTCTGGTTGCCATGGCAACCGAAAGAAAAAACTTTAAATATCTTCTTTTAAAAAACCATAAGAGCTAGAGCTTAGATATTTGGCATGAAACATCTTCTAGTGAGTGTCTACCAAGTTTGTTCAAATAAAAGCCCTGGGGTCAAAATTGGCCCCGCCCCGGGGGGTCATTGATTTTCCCTATATGCATATAGTAAAAACTTAAAAAATCTTCTTTTAAAGAACCCAAAAAGCTAGAGCTAAGATATTTAGCATGAAACATGTTCTAATGGGTGTCTACCAAGTTTGTTCAAATAAAAGCCCTGGGGTCAAAATTGGCCCCGCCCCGGGGGGTCATTGATTTTCCCTATATGCATATAGTAAAAACTTAAAAAATCTTCTTTTAAAGAACCAAAAGAGTTAGAGCTAAAATATTTAGCATGACACATGTTCTAATAAGTGTCTACCAAGTTTGTTCAAATAAAAGCCCTGGGGTCAAAATTGGCCCCGCCCCGGGGGTCATTGATTTTCCCTATATGCATATAGTAAAAACTTAAAAAATCTTCTTTTAAAGAACTCAAAGAGCTATGGCTAAGATATTTAGCATCAAACATGTTCTAATTGGTGTCTACCAAGTTTGTTCAAATAAAAGCCCTGGGGTCAAAATTGGCACCGCCCCAGGGGTCATTGATTTTCCTTATATGTGTATAGCAAAAAACTTAAAAAATCTTTTTTAAAGAACTCAAAGAGCTATGACTAAGATATTGAGCATCAAACATGTTCTAATAGGTGTCTACCAAGTTTGTTCAATTAAAAGCCCTGGGGTCAAAATTGGCCCCGCCCCGGGGGTCATTGATTTTCTTTATAATATATGTGTATAGCAAAAACTTAAAATCTTCTTTGAAAAAACCCAAATAGCTAGAGTTTAGATATTAAGCATGAAACATCTTCTAGTAAGTGTCCACAAAGTTTGTTCAAATAAAAGCCCTGGGGTCAAAACTGGCCTGGCCCAAGGGGTGTCATTGTTTTTAACTATATGTGTATAGTAAAAACTTTAAAAAAATCTTCTTTTAAAAAGCCCAATAAGCTATAGCTTAGATGTTTAGCATGAAACATCTTCTTATGGGTGTCTACCAAGTTTGTGCAAATAAAACCCTTGGGTTAAATTGGCCCTGCAACGTTGGGGGGGGGGGTTGGGTTTGTGGGGGGGCCTATATACAGGTGAGCGATCTCAGGGCCATCATGGCCCTCTTGTTCATGCATAGAAGGATTTTAAAATAACTAGGCATAAATGTTTACCGCATCAAAACGACATCTCTGGACAAAGACCCATGTCCCTACCTTTAAGTTCAAGGTCACACTTATAGTTTGAAGATACTCATTCTCTTTAGAAGAGTTTGAAGATACACATTCATGTCCGGACTGTAACTTTGTCATGCATGGAAGAATTTTAAAATAACTTGGCACAAATGTCTACCACATCAAGACAATGTGTTGGGGCTAAGGCTCATGTCTGTCTGTCTGTCCCCACTTACACAACAATCATGTCCAGACTTTAACTTTGTCATGCATTGAGGGATTTTGAAATAATATGGCATAAATGTTTATCTCATCAACAACAATTTATGCATCCAGGAACCACGTCACTTCTTCAAAGGTCAAGGTCACACTTATATTTTGACGGTTCATGCTATCACAATTAGAGATTACAGGTACTATAATACAAAGAACAATATTAAGCCATTGCTTTTCTTTCATTCTCTTCTTTTCATAATACCTGCATGCTTAAGAAACCTTTTCAGGGGCATTAGTCACTTGGGTGACAGCTTTTGTTTTTTCATAGTTTGGTCTTCCTTACTGCGTCCAGTATTTTATAAGTTGAGGTTTGCTGTCTCCTGTGACAGCTCTTGTTCTGTTCTTCTGGAGGCATGCTGCTTTAAAGCCATCATTTTTATGCCCCCCCCCCCCCCATGTAATGACCGGGGCATATAGTGTTACCCTGTTCCGTCCTTCAGTCATTCCATCCTTCCGTCCTTCCGTCATTCTGTCATTCCGTCATCATCTGTTTTCGTTCATTATCTTAGTAATGGTTGCACACATTCAACTCAAATTTGACGTATGGATATGTCATGAGAAAATACAGCTCGAGTTCGAATTTGGTCATGGTTCAATGATTTTTGATAGAGTTATGCCCCTTTTACTTTGAAAATAATATGAAATTTTCAGTTTCTGTTCATTATCTCCCCAACGGTACAACACATTCAACTCAAATTTGCCATATGGATATGTCCTGAGAAAATAAAGGTCAAGTTCGAATTTGGTCATGGTTCAATGATTTTTGGCAGAGTTATGCCCCTGTCACTTTGAAAATAATATGAAATTTTCAAATTCTGTTTATTATCTCCCCAAAGGTACAACACATTCAACTCAAATTTGACATATGAGTTTCTGTTTATTATCTACCCAACAACTCAAATATGACATATGGATATGTCAAAGGAATGAGCAGGTCAAGTTTGAATTTGGTGATGGTTCGATGATTTTTTGGCAGAGTTATGTCCCTTTCACTTTGAAAATAATATAGAGACATCTTAGGAATAAGCAGTTTAAGTTTGAATTTGGTCCTGGTTCAATGATTTTGGACAAACTTATCTTTCTTGAATGTTGGAAAAATTTTGAACTTTCAGTTTCAGCACTGAAATGTATTTTGCCATTATTTTGGCTACAAATATGAAATATGCTATTTTCAAAAGGTTAAGACTGAATAATTTCAGTGCCTTGAACATGGTTTGTGTTAACATTGAAAAGTTTTAAGGGCTTTGAACTTAAAATGAAAAAAATAATTTGTGCAAACAAATTTGGAACTAAATATTATAACATCTGAAATTTTGGCTGCATGCAGGGGCATCCGTGGCATGATGACACATTTCTAGTTTCACTATTATCTTATCTTATATTTGTTTTTTTTGCATGATGTACCCAACTTTCTGCATTCTGGTGTTAGGGTAATGACTAAAGAGGATTTAATTATACATGTATAATTTTATTTCATTCATATATACAGAAGTATAAAAAAGCCATTAAATGAAAATGAATATTACATTAGTGTAACCGAAATGTCATATGACATCATTGTGTTTTTCCAACATCAAAATAGGCTAAATATTAGCATGTGCATCAATAAAAAGAATTACTCTTTTTCACTGTATACCATTTTTTTGTAATAAATAAAAAATTATCATTTGTTTATTTCTTAATTTATTGAACTTACTAAGTCTCCAAATACTCACATGATATGACTTATTTCATATTGTTCAAACAATTTAGTAGCTTTTCTTATAATATAACAAAAAACATTTAAAAAATTAAAAAATGGCAATTCCAAAAGAAATTATCACCTATAATAAATGAAACATGTTATACTCTTTGCATACATTTTAATTGCCCACAACCATAGCTCTAAGGTATTCTGTAACTAGTGACTTCCCCATTTCAGAAGCAGTCTTGCTGGGGCATTAATCATAGTTAGTGATAGCTCTAGTTTGTTTAACTGATTAGATGTCATACACTTGAATGTTGTCATCTGAATATCCACTTAGACACATCTTCGTCATTTGTTGATTACACCAGACTGAACTAATATTGTGTTTTCTTCTATCAGCTTTTATAACCGGTCCTATTAGCTCACCATCACATGTAAACTGTAAAACACTATTTGAGTCAAATCCAGATACCAGCACACTACCTGTTTCAGTGAGATAACAGCATCCAGCCCCCTCTATTTGTTTGTCATTAAATGATCTAATAACCTGACCATTGTTGTCCAGTACTATCAGTCCAATATAGAAATCAGCAACATAAATCCTTGTAGCATCCTTACTGACAGCTAAACTTCTTACACCAAAGAACAAATTATGTCCTGATGAATCATTACTGAACTGATTAAGTTTCCTCCCTGACAATGTATACATATAAACTGATTTGTCTTGGTCTGAAATATATAAATTATTGTTTGAGTATGCAAGGCCATAACATCTAAAATCAGTAGTAATCATGTTTGTTGTTTTCATTTTTCTTTCTAGAGAAATGAAATGAACTTTCTTTTCTGATGAAATAGTTACTGCTACTTGTGTGTTATTGATCAGACACACTTGCCATGACTCTCCAGGTAGATCACAGTAGCCTGTGACAGAATAGTTATAACTGTGTAAACGTTTAAGCTTGTCGTGATCAGCTAGAATTATTGTACCATCTTCCATAAAACAGGCACTGTTGATATAACAATCTTTTTTATCTGACATGACTTTTACATTATAGGATAGATTTCCCTTAATCTGAAATAAATTGTCAGCAGTCTTCTCTGATAGTGTACCTAGGGTCTTCTTTTGTTCTAACTGTGTAACAATCGTTCTGTCAGGTTGAAACTCTATGTCTCCTACTTTACATTTTGTTTTGGCATACTTCATATATTTGTTGGCAATATTTGCAGCATCTTCTCCCATCTTCACATAAACAAACACTTCAGAATGATTTGTGTTTGTAGATGCTAACTTATCATTAGCTAATCTAATCCTGGACTTATTTGCTTGAAGCTGTTTTAAACCGTCTGCGATTTTGTCTTCAAGACATTTAACTTTACTTTCTATCTCATCAATAGAACTTCTCTCCAGCTTGTCAAGTTGGCCATTGATTTCTTGTCGGAATTTTCTGATATCAGCGAGTAGTTCTGCTTTCCTCTTTAACAGCCTTTGTTTATCCTGTTTAAATGTATTAGCTTGCTTTTCAAGGGTCTTGGCTATTTCCTTGAGATGAGTTTGAATGTCTCTCGATTCAACTTGGTAAGTATTGTTTTGGATAAATTCTGGTATGTAGAATGTATCCTTACATAATCTGAAAAATAAGTTCAAACAGTTTATGAGGCTATGAGCTGACGTAGGAGATGATATAATATTTAGTGTTATGTATTGAATAAGATAGTCTAAGAATATTATGTAAAGTACCTACTAAACATTCCATATACTTATACTTAATAAATATCTTTGTTTAAATACTATAGTTTACCTGTGATCAACTGCCATACATGTAGAACAGCCAACATTATCATGGCTCTGACAGTACATATCAATGTGTTTATGACTGTGTCTGTCACATCTCTCTGCTGGTGCCCTGGGCATAGCTTTACTGGTTCCTGACTTAACTTGAGATTTATCCAATACCTTGTGACCAGCTAATACAGGCACTTTACTGTGAACTTTGACACAACTAACACAGAAATAATCATGACAATCAACACAGTATTTTTCACCTTCAGTGTTCCTGTCTTCATTTCTACACATTGAACATAATGCGTCAAATATTTCATCCGAAAGAATATCCGTATCAATTTGTCGACTGGCAGCCATTTTGTATTTTTTTCAACTAGGTTTTTTAGTAGATTTATTTACATTGTAAAATCGATAAAAATGTCTCAATTTCTTTCACAGTGATTTTAGATTTTAAACATTGATGTACTCTATAATTATGATAACTGTAAGCCTTAAGTATCTTCTATATTATACTCCTGGAAAAATATCAATTTCTACATTATATGTTTTCATTGATATAAATCCTCTCCTTTCGCTAAATAATGTCTAAATGATTTAACCTACTTTTTGGGTTTAACTTATCAAAGGTGCCTTGATACCTCTTTGCACAGAGTGCAACTTGATCGGGTGGAAAGTTTTCTAAAGTTTATTTATTTTCAATACTAAACTACTTAAAGATATATAAAGACTATTTACATTGGGCTGGTTTTACATTATGCTATTTAAATCAATATAACCCAGAAGAAAATATCTAACCTTAAATAATCAAATTATAAAAAAAAAATAACAAACTTTATCTTGGCAAAGTAAATGGTGTATAAGTCCTTTGCCGTTGTATTTAGGACACATTCAAAAATGTGCTAGTGCAATATCAACATTATTAATTTTATTTGTCAGAATTCAATTCATTCAGAATTTTACTGGCTATGAGTATTTTTTGCCATTTTTTAATAGGACTTTTATGAGGGTTTGTCCATTGAAAGTTCTAATTATTGTCAAAGGAAGACTTATACGAATATTCTAAGGAAAGAGTACAAAATCACCTCTTTAAATTCAGATTTTAGAAATTATGCAAGTTAAAATCTTGAAGTACTTTTATTTTATCTATTGAAAATATACTGCTTTCCTAGCAGTTTCTGATACAAAAAGTCGCCCTTTTTTACAAATTTAAAATAAGAATCTGTCACAGGAAGAGTACACAACTTTGACAGAACACAGTTAGGTACCATTCCAACATTACCATGCTCTTAACTTTTTTTCTTAACTGGAATATTGACCTGAAATTTAACACCTTTTCTCACATTCATTAAAAATTTCACATCAGTTTTATTCAGACCTTTTTCATTTAATTTTGAATATAAGTCAGTACCAGTTGTAAGCAATGTCAAAGAAATATACTTGTCCAACTTTTTCCATAGCTTCTGCAAATATATTGATTTACCTAAAGGTGGGCATCAGTTTTTGCTCATATTAGCTGTCAAACTGGAATGCCCAAGTTTTGCCTGTTTCTAAATGTTGCAAGTCCTCTATAAAGGTTACCTTGGAACAACAGTCCAAACTTCAGGACATATAAACCTCTGTACTATTTTAACTTCTGTGTTGCCTTGAGAAAAAAAATGTCTCTTTGATTTCATGAAGAATGAACAGATACTGTTAAATCATTATTATTTGTGGGGCACGAATTTTCGTGGTTTTCAGGGGTAGGTCAATCCACGAATTTAAGATCCGACAAACTTTTATCCCGACAAATACTTCTTACCCTGTCTCTGTTCTATATATTACAAACATGCGTCGGCTCTTTTCGGCCGATATTTCGTGAAATGAATGTAAGTACAGACAGATAACCAGGTTTGTGACATATTAAATCCGTTTGCAATATTTAAGAAACTTGAAAGAAAACTCGATTATATGTCCTCAATTTACTGTCACATAAATGTCGCATATACATACTTGATCGTTGTAGTCTACTAGGACTTGATTGTGTTAACAAGAATACTTGACATAATCGAGTTAATATGGGAACCCAGGCAGTGCAATAATTAGCGCTAATAAAAATTCTCAGTTTGCTCTTATTAATTTAAAAAAAGTCTTTGATATTAATGTCGTAAGTACACAAAATTATAAAAAATACGATCGCTAAAACAGATTTATTGTACTGTCTTTCGTTGTTTTTAAATGCTCCAGTTTATATGAATTTTAATCAGTATTTGTGAGATTGCTATTCCGTAAACATCAAAGACACCACCGACTTTTACAAGATCCACATAAACTCGTGTTACTTACCGAGAATAATTTATATGCATGTAAATTTACACAGTCGCTGTGACATTGCGTGTAGATACTGTCAAATGTGTTAAGTGTTAACTTTTAAACTCGCTGGTTAAAACGTGCCAGGTGTGGTATAAATTATGCGATGTTTACATCGGCGAATTACAGGGGCAGTGTGTCCAATGGATGTGCATATCATGTCACATAAATGTGTTAATTGCAGTCAATTATCGGCAGTAACTGTGCTGTATTAGAGTTATACCCAGAGGCAAGGATTAAATTTAATGACAGCCGCTGTGTGACAAGTAAAGATATGTACATGTTGTAAGTAACAATGTTCGGCGATTAAGATTACTTTGCATTAGGTTACTGAATTTTTTTTTTTACAAGAAAAGGAAAATCCACGAATTTAAGAACCCACGAAAATGCCAGTTTTGATAAAACCACGAACTTTCATGCCCACGAATATAAGTGAATTCGCAGTACTTTATCAGTAAAAATATACTGTACTGGACGAAAATGATAATGCTAGAGCCTGGTAACTGCTAGGAAACCATTTATGGATTTATGTTCAGAGTATTTAAAGAGGTCAGTTAGGAAGAATCATCTGTTTAAATGTTTGAATAACTCTAATAATTAAGCCTTTTATCATAGAGTAAGGTTAGTATTATATTATGTGGACAGTATTGTCACATGTATGAAATGTATGATAAACTTCTATTATGGAATATGTATTTAAATAGCATAACATTGCTTGATGTGATTCAACATAGCCATATATAGTGTTTTTATCAACACATTATAAAATGTAACCCATAAAATTCCAATGATTGAAGCTTATAAATATTTTAATAAGATTAAATTTTATCAATGTAGCCTCATTTTCATTTTGCCATATTAATATTATTTTCAATCTTGCCTCATTTTCATTTTCCAAATCCAAATAAAATCCATTAGTTACTATATGTCTTTTTTGTCCAGAGCATATCTCTTACACGCATTGAGGATTTTGATGAAATTTCATAGAAATGTTAAACCACTATGAGAAACTGTATTGCAGACATGAACAGTGACTCTTGGTCAAAGGTCAAGGTCGTACGTGTAACAGGTCATTGAAAAATGCTTGTCTGGAGCAAATGGGTCATTATCATGACTACCGTCATTTCACTTATATTTTAGGTCAATTAATGCAAGGTCAAGGTCACTAAAGTTGATGATATATCTGGATTTTTAGCTCACCTGTCACAAAGTGACAGGGTGAGCTTTTGTGATCGCTTTTCGTCCGGCGTCCGTCGTCCGTCCGTCGTCCGTAAACTTTTACTTTAAATGACATCTCCTCATAAACCACTAGGCCAATTTCATCCAAACTTCACAGGAATGTTCCTTTGGTGGTCACCTTTAAAAATTGTTCAAAGAATTTAATTCCATGCAGAACTCTGGTTGCCATGGCAACCGAAAGAAAAAACTTTAAATATCTTCTTTTAAAAAACCCTAAGAGCTAGAGCTTAGATATTTGGCATGAAACATCTTCTAGTAAGAGTCTACCAAGTTTGTTCAAATAAAAGCCCTGGGGTCAAAATTTGCCCCGCCCCAGGGGGTCATTGATTTTCCCTATATGCATATAGTAAAAACTTACAAAATCTTCTTTTAAAGAACCCAAAGAGCTAGAGCTAAGATATTTAGCTTGAAACATGTTCTAATGAATGTCTACCAAGTTTGTTCAAATAAAAGCCCTGGGGTCAAAATTGGCCCCGCCCCAGGGGGTCATTGATTTTCCCTATATGCATATAGTAAAAACTTAAAAAATCTTCTTTTAAAGAACCATAAGAGCTAGAGCTTAGATATTTGGCATGAAACATCTTCTAGTGAATGTCTACCAAGTTTGTTCAAATAAAAGCCCTGGGGTCAAAATTGACCCCGCCCAGGGGTCATAGATTTTCCCTATATGCATATAATAAAGACTTAAAAAATTTTCTTTTAAAAAAACCCAAAGAGCTAGAGCTAAGATATTAAGCATGAAAACATCTTCTAGTGAGTGTCTACCAAGTTTGTTCAAATTAAAGCCCTGGGGTCAAAAATTGGCCTCGCCCCGGGGGTCATTGATTTTCCCTATATGCATATGGTAAAAACTTAAAAAATCTTCTTTTAAAGAACTATAAGAGCTAGAGCTTAGTTATTTGGCATGAAACATCTTCTAGTGAATGTCTACCAAGTTTGTTCAAATAAAAGCCCTGGGTCAAAATTGACCCTGCCCCAGGGGGTCATAGATTTTCCCTATATGCATATAGTAAAAACTTAAAAAATCATTCTTTTAAAGAACCCAAAGAGCTAGAGCTAAGATATTTAGCATGAAACATCTTCTGATGAGTGTCTACCAAGTTTGTTCAGATAAAAGCTCTGGGGTCAAAATTGGCCCCGCCCCAGGGGGTCATTGATTTTCCCTATATGCATATAGTAAAAACTTAAAAAATCTTCTTTTAAAGAACTCAAAGAGCTAGAGCTGAGATATTTAGCATGAAACATGTTCTAATGGGTGTT